TTGTGTGTTTTACTTAATTGGGTTCAATGGTTTGAATGCATATCCTAAACCAAAAAATGAGTGAAACTTCTTGTTTGACTTGTTTTCATGTACCTGTTAAATTATGAGTTGATCCTTGTTTTCTGACATTGAGTTGTCAGGATATTGCTGGTACCTTGGCAACAGAAGAGGCTGAAGATGCAGCACAAGTGGCCAAGTTGCGTTCAGCTCTAGAATCTGTTGATCACAAAAGAAGAAAGGTGCTTTGTTTGACTTGAGATGGATCAAAGGATTTCTGAATTGCTTGAAGTAATCCTCAACATGATTAATCGTATATGCACAATTCACAAACTATTAACATTAGGAAACTAGGAAATTGGGAAAATGATACAAGTCAAATACTAATTATTTACAGAAAATAAACAGACCCTAGATAGGAGATATTTTCCCTGAATTGGAGATATTTTCCGACAGTCTTATTCAACTGTTATATCTTATGCATGCATGTATGTAATTATATAAAATATATCTTCTATTTGCACAAGTCTAGAGCTCCTTCATGAGTTGATGGTTTTGTCATCATTGCATATTGCATGAGAAAATTTAATGTATCCTTGATTGTAATGCATCATCTTTATTCTGAAACATTTTAACTTCATACTTGGAAAATGGCTATGATAAGAGGAAATTTAAGTTCCGTACAGAAATTCCAAAATTGCTTGTTTAGTAATTTGCTGGGTTATACTTCTGTTTGCCGTGTCTTATTGAGCACTTCTGGAGGACCATCTTGTATAATTAGGAGGTAGATATAAATTTAATGTCTTCCCCTTCTCAGTACTTGTATATAGCCAACACTATTTATGACTATTGAACTCAAGGGATTAAAGTGCAGTATTGCAGTCCTGGGCTACAATTTTGCTAAAATTGATTCCTAAAGGAGGGGAAGTTTTCTGGTAACCTTAGCCTTCATTCTGAAATGAATGTTCTGTTGATTCTGTCAAACTTGTACTCTAGCAATGTTAACAGTAGATCGAGTTTTAAAGAGCAATTAAAGAAGTACGCCGATGCTTAATTTTCTTCATAACTGAATGTCTATTTATCATGTGCTTGCATTGATTTCTTATTATGCTCAGATTTTGCAACAAATAAGAAGTGATGTAGCTTTGCTGACATTGGAAAATAGTGGTTCACCTGTTCAAAATCCATCTACAGCTGCTGAAGATGCACGATTAGCATCTCTTATTTCACTTGATGGTATATTGAAGCAAATCAAGGTTTTTTTCGTTCTTGACATCTATTTTTGAAACTTTAGTTTAGTTTTCTAATAGGAAATACTAAGTCAATCAAGGTATAATTTGAACAGGATATAACTAGACTTTCGACAATGAACACCATAGAAAAAAGTAAGAAAAGAACAGTGCTCTATTCTCTTGATAAATTGACAGAACAAATGCCTTCGCTTCTTGAAATTGATCATCCCTGTGCTCAGAGGTACATTGCAGATGCTCGCAGCATGGTTGAGGTAAGCAAATTGATGCTCTGTATGGCTATATTGTATCCGAATTCTAAAGGAAATCGGATTATGCTTTGAACTGTGTTGGCATATCTCATCATAATGTTAATGACAATAGTGTCATTAAGGAGGTTGTGGGGTTACTGTCTTTTTATCTAGGAATGTGGTTGTATTGTAATAAGTTCTAAACATTACCATTTATTTACTCTCTTGTATACCATTTTATGGTAGCCATGCTATCTGTATGCTTGTCCAAAATTTATCTGGTTTTCTATGTATTTGACTATTTTCTGTCACAATTTATTGTTAACATCTTTTGTGCAGCTAATTGCCATTATAACCCAGTTAAATATTAAGGAATGTCGTACTCAAAAGAGAAAAACTAAGGAAGAAACAGATGAAAATAATTTGAAATCATTCTGTCTCATAGCATGTGTTAAATTTAGTGCTTCTGTTCTGATGCAGTCAATTCCTGAAGAAGATGACCGCATTCAAAATGTTTCCCATCCTCGCAAGCCATCAACTGATATGGGCTCTGGATCTGTAACTGACGTGGCACAGTGGAATGTCCTTCAATTCAATACGGGTAATACCTCACCATTTATAATCAAATGTGGAGCAAACTCAAATTCCGAACTAATCATTAAAGCTGAGGCTCGAGTTCAGGAACCTAAAGGAGGTGAGATTGTGAGAGTTGCCCCTAGGCCATCCATTTTGGAAAATATGAGCTTGGAGGAAATGAAGCAAGTATTTTCTGAACTACCTGAGGCTCTAAGCCTGCTTGCCCTGGCAAGGACTGCAGATGGAACTCGAGCACGGTATTCTAGACTATATAGGACCTTGGCTATGAAGGTTCCGTCACTTAGGAATCTAGTCAGTGAGCTTGAAAAAGGGGGTGCACTGAAGGATGCTAGAACATAACCTTCAAAAGGAAAGATGATTGTAGACTATTTCATTATATGCCTCGAGTAGCTTGCATTTTAAAGGCTTTGGCTTTTGGGGGTTGATTGAGTGGTGGGGAACCATTGTATGTATTATGTACAATCGTTGATCTGTATGCACGTGACGTTGTTGTATTTCGTTGTAATTATTTTAGTATATTTTTATCGATTTTTTTTAACGTGTGTTTAAGGACATAATAAGAATATATATATATATATATATATATATATATATATATATTAAGTTTTTGTTAAAAATCACATGATATAATATATTGATATTATTATATATTATATTTTCAATAAAAAATTACTTTTTATTGATTTTGTATTGTGTTCTTGGACATATATTAGAAAAATAATTAATATATCAGATGTGATCAACCTAAGAGCTTGAGTCCGCATTCTTATTTATGACTTGATGTTCGTTTGGCAATTAAATAAGTTTAAACAGCATAATTTGCTGTTCATTTAAACCTCTAAGTTGCTGGTCCAAACCACTCAATTATTTGGTTTAATTTGGATCGATTTCATAAATGTATTTGTCATGTCTAAAATTAACTTGATCGACGGTTGGTTCGTCGTGTCATCGAGTTTAGTAATACATTTTCCTTTTACATGTTGCTCTCATTTTTTAATGACTCTTGAACCAAAAAAAAATCCGAAGCCAACCTATAAAAATTGTAGTGCTAATTTGATTTGAGGAGACATTTTTGTTTACTAACAATGATTAAATGTCATTTTTTTTTTCTTTTTAAAGTTTAATACAAGAAATGGCACAATAGCTAATAGCCATTGTAATTATTCATGAAAATAGAAAATGATTTATCAATTCAGGGACATCAGTTTTAACCTAAATTAGCAAGTTATTTCTTACAAACACATGCACGCAACTTTATCATCGTCACAGAAGAATATCATTTTTTCTTAATATCATTTAATTGAAAAAGGAATGGACACTTTTACATGTTTGGTTTGAAAAAAAAAATGCATATAACATATATGGTAGGGTTAACAATAACAATAATAATAAAACTTATCAAAATTTTAAATTAAACATTGACTCACTTTTTTTAAAATAAGAATTAGTTTTAACACGTTATTCATCTGTTTCTCGTTGAAAACACTAATTCTTATTGGACTTGTATGTGTAAGTTTTATCTAAAAATAAATTACAAAATTTTAGGAGAAAATTATATTTTGATGTTTGATTTGAAAATTTAATGTTAAAGATATAAGCAGTTTTGCATTATCATAACTAAGTCTAAAGTTAATAATATCTCTTTTGTGATCAGGTGAGATTTAAGTTACTTTCTTAATTGTTAGTAGGTGAAAAAATTATATTTTAATGTTTAATTTAAAAATTTAATGCCATCGATATAAGAAGCTTTGCATTATCATGACTAAGTCTAAAGCTAACAATAACTTTTCTATTAGTATATATGAATTTAGTATTTAATTTTTTTGAGTATCAAAATATTTATTGTACATTATTGTAATATTTTCATTATTTAGTATTCTCAATTTTATGTGTTATTGAATAATTTATTTATAAAATTTTGAAGAAAAAATAAAATCCTCAATTGCTATCCTCACATGACTCTCTAAACTACGATCTGCTAAAAACTATTTTGAAACGAATCACCTAAAATTACAATTCTTACAAAACACATCTTCGCAGGCTAGAAATGAGTTACACAACTGCTTGTTTTATTATCACATCACCTAAATAACTGTTAACTGATTATATTAACTTTTATAAAATTTATACAAGCTTAATGTCTATAATCGCAATTAATCAAAAGTTCAAGATATATTCAAGTAATAATGCATGTGTTGAAATTCATGCTGATATATTTTTTTTCTTTACCATAATCTACATACATTATTTTACAAAAATTATCCATTCAAAGTTTAACTCTTTATTTTAGTAAGATGCAAATTTATTAAAAATCAAGAGAGAGTGCATCAATGACAGAGGAATGGCCATCCAAAGAATGGTATTATCAATATTTATACCAAATTTTGCTAAAGCATGAGCAATTCTATTGTGTCATTTTGTCCCAATGAAAGATGTATGAACTAAATTCTATACTTTGCTATGATATCTTCCAATAATAATCTCACTAAAAAAATGTAATTCTTTCATTAAATGCCTTGATAATCAATTAAGAATCTCCCTTTATCTATACATAATTGAAGTTTTAAGTTGACGAAAAAATCTAGACTTCTCTTGCAATAACTTCCAATGAGTCAATCTATAATATTATTTCATATAAACTTGTTCATTCAAAGTCAACTTCAGTTGATGGTTAATATAAGTAATAATATTTATTAAACTTTTAAAAATGGGACAACGGATCTTTCTTACTTTAATTAAAATGATTTTTATATTAAAAGTATAATACATATTTTTTAAAGAAAAAATATTATTTTAGAAGATTAAAATCAGCTTTAAAAATTAAGTAAACAATAATAGTTCTAGAATTAAATTTTGCATATAATTTTGAAATGAGAAAATAGGCCACGATAGCAGTGAAGTATTTTCAATTTTTTCTCCGGTGCTTCTTGTGCTTTCCTCTCCGGGGCGTTGTGGATACAACAGAAAACGAAATGTCTTCAATTTCTTGCACTAAGCTCACACTATTCAGCATCGCAGCAGTTATCATTCAGTTCATTGGTCTCAGCATATTCGTTTTCGGTTTCTTCCCCGTCAAACCAGTTCTCTCCGGCCACAGGTAACACCTCCAACCTCCAATCTGTAATCATATTTTCCATTCCATCTCCTTAACCTTTCTTACTTATTCATTACTTTACTTCCACTTTTCGTTAGTGGATCCGAGAGTTTCCGACGACCGACCTGCAATAACAACGGCGTCGCAAATCAGAGCGATCCGTCTCTGCCTCCAGATCGCCTTAGGTTTTTGTATCAGGTTGTGGCGGTGAATGCGAATTCTAAGTTTGATTTTGGTATCTATATGCTTTATGCTTGTTACGAATAATCATTTGTTTGATATCAGCTCACAGTATAAAGCATCTTAATGCCGTTCGTATTTGTTGTGAATTGTAGTCTGCTGTGATTGATTTAATTTAATTTAATTTAAGTCGTTTTTGCTTTAAATTTTGTGTTTACTTATGAACTTACAGAATGTTGCTTGTGTAGGAAGTATCTGAGATCCTTCCTTTATATGATCGACTCGTCTTAATGGTATGTATGATTGCCAGAGACATCATATTAGTTGATTTTATGATTTTTGGTTATTTATGTGTTTTGGTTGTTTGTGGGCTGAGGTGTACGATTTTGTTGTAGGTCATTGATGGTCTGCCAGCAGAATTTGTGCTTGGTAAGAAGGGTCAGCCTCCTAATAAGACTTTTATGGAAGCTATGCCTTATACACAGTCGTTGTTGGCAAATGGCATGGCTGTTGGGTATCATGCAATTGCTGCTGCTCCAACCGTTACCATGCCCCGATTGAAGGTTAGTGTTGCTTCCTGTTTCAAATGTGGAAGTACGAAAGGAAAGCTTATGATCTGTTGTTTTCCTTTCCTTTTTGTGACCTATGCTTATATATATTTTTGTTTGTCATCCAGGCCATGGTTTCTGGAGCAATTGGGGGTTTCCTGGATGTTGCTTTCAACTTTAACACCCAGGCATATTTAGATGACAATCTTCTTGGTTAGTTGTAGCAACCAATGTTGGAAAATTTGACTATATCAATTTTTTCCCTGTGAACTAGTATTGATTTCATTGTTACTTGCTTGTTGCAGCACAGTTCTTTAAGATTGGATGGAAAATCATTATGCATGGTGATGATACATGGCTCAAGTTATTTCCTGGTTTATTTGAAAGATATGACGGAGTTAGCAGTTTTTTTGTAAGTTTTTTAATATATATATATATAGAATAAAAAGAGTTTATTTGACCTCTCAATCCATTAGCATTTCTCGTTAATAATAACTTTGTATTTCTCATACAAGGACAAATGGTTGCCTTATTATTTTACATTGTTTTTATGAAGCTTCTTGTTACTACAGGTTAAAGATACTGTACAAGTAGATCAAAATGTGTCTCGACATCTTGGTGATGAACTTAGCAGAGATGATTGGAATTTTCTGGTAATTAATTTTGATCCCTTCATAATTTGGTCCCCACCTAATAAATTTGAATTTCCATTTTGTGATAATTTTCACTTTGCAAATTTGTACATATTTGCATGTAGAACTCGGTACATTTTATTTGACTCCCCTGCCTCCTCTCATTCCCTGTTCTTTTTCTGGCCAAAGGGTGGCAGTTGTTTTAGTGATATCATGTTACTGATGAATATTGGTGTTATGTATGGCTTTGTTGTGGTTCTGAGTATTGGATTTCTAGTGTCAACTTTATGATTTTCTTATATCTATAACTAGTGCCAAGTATTACAACTATTTAAATGGACTTAAGTGAAGGCTTATTGTATTACTACCTCTTTTTATCAACTATAAGTCGGTTTGGCTCTACTTATACGATGACACCAAATAGTAAAAAAAATGTTTGTTTTGGTTTTCACTTTTCAGTGAAAGTTAAGACTTAAGATATCCATTTGTAGTAGAAGGATTCTTCAAAATTGTTATGTTAACTTAGTTTTATTGTATGTCAATAGTGGATGTTTTGTCTAGTTCTAAATGATATGATACTTTTTTTCAATGAAGATTTAATTTTATTTTACTGAATTTATTTTAGATACTTCATTATCTAGGCTTGGATCATGTTGGACATATTGGTGGACGCAACAGGTATCATCATTATCTATTTTCTCTACATGACACGTAATTTCATTCTATCCTCTAAGCTTCACTTGGACATTTACTGTTTCAGTGTATTAATGGCTTCAAAACTTTTTGAAATGGATGAAGTAGTGAAGATGATCCATATTAATTCTTTGCGAAATCTAGAAAAGGATCAAGGGCAGACACTTCTGGTTTGTGACTATCTTTTAGTTGCTTTCTTGAATTGTATACTACAGAATTCATATGACTTGTTTATTATGGTGTGGACATTTCTAGTCATTAATATGAACACAATTACCCAAGAGTTCCTCTGTTGCATTTAATCTATTTAGCTTCTTAATGTATTCAATACTTGTATGACTTTAATTAAGGATGCATTTGCATGTTTGAGCTTGCATACATGCTTGTATAAGTAAATAAAAAAATTGCTTGAATTCTAAGAATTTTTCTTTAAAAGTTAATGATAAACAGCCATTGGCTTTGTGAGTGAATTGTCAATTTTATAGTGATCTGAGGAAAAAATAAATGAACTTACCATTATACATACTGTCATTTATTGAATCTGGAATAATTGGGACTGCAGATTTACAAGTGTTAGTCCTTGTGTTCATGAATCCATAGTATATTCTCATGGCTTTCAAGTCTATACTTTTTGTTGCGTATATATCTACGTGGATAATAATTTTCATTTGTGTGACTTATACCTATGATATTTATTTTGAAATATAGTTGACGTTTTCCATTTTTTTTCTTTGGCTATTTTAAATTAATTATTAATTAAAACTGTAAAGATTGAGTCCACTAAAAAATCCAAGTTTTAATTAATCTCTGCTGCAAACTGTTATACAGGTTGTGGTCAGTGACCATGGAATGACTGAGAATGGGAATCATGGGGGTTCATCCTACGAGGAAACAGACTCTATAGCTCTATTTATTGGTCCAAAAACCCATGCCTCTGGCCAGGCATCATCCAATTATGACACAATTTTTCAGGTAATGAAACTATACTTCATGCTTGTTGGCTGTGGCACACAGGACTAACTATTGTTGATGATTTTCTTAACCTCTCTTAAACTTGAATGTGTTCTCAAAACAGTTTGCTACCATGAATGAATCCTCTTGCCTTGAGTATGTTAGTCAACTTCTGTTTGTATGCATCCATTTGTGGGGAACCTTTTTGTGTTTTACATGAATTTGTTGCCCTCCAGGTTGAAACTTATTTTTCTATTTCAGTACTCTTCTTGTTTTTCTTGTTTGCTATCTGGAACCAAACATACAAGTCAACCACTGTGTCACTGACAATATACCATTGTACTAAAGATCCTGGGTAGTATGTGTGGTTAAATATGAATGCAATTTACATCTTATTATTGTGCACCAGGTTGATATTGCACCAACATTAGCTTTACTTTTTGGCGTGCCAATTCCAAAAAATAATATTGGTGTTCTGATCTCTGAAATGGTTGACTCTCTGACAGGTTAGTTCTCTTTCTGTCTATGCTTGTCTATTTATCAGACAAATGAAGCAGAAGGTGATATGACATTTTTTTCCCAGTTGTTTTCATCGAGCACGTGTTGTAACTTGTAACAGAAAAAGTATGGAATTTTATCCTTTCCTTTTTCTTCTTTGGTGAGCTAGATGACCAAAAGTTGAGGGCACTGCAGTTGAACTCATGGCAGCTATTCCGATTACTTCAAGCACAATTGCCTGGTTTGTCTTGCAGAAATTTTCCATGTGATGCTTTTGTTACTAATAGTGGACCCACAGTTAGTGAATGTAAAGGTAGCAAGGAGAAATTGTTTTGTTGCTTGTATTTAAATGCTGCTACTCTTCATGATGCCTGGAAGGCTAAAGTCATCATCAGGTATGTGATAATTTTGTTGTGCCAGGTTTTGAATAAATTCCACAAGAAATATTTATAAACATTTTTTATTTGGCTTTTATTTCTTATGGTCTAATAGTACAGAAGGCTATAACAGCATCGTTAGAGCATATCATGAGTTTCTGAGCATGGCAAGTGAGTGGCTATCACACAAAGCAACTGATGTATGTATGATCTTCTTAGTCATAATTTCTTAACCTTGCTAAACCCAGAATATTGTGTGAGAGCATCAATAGCCAGTATTGAGGGAATATTGACATCTTGTTAATTGATTTGTGTCTTGAAAGCTTCTATTAAGATTTCTTATTCTGTTCTTTTTCATCACAATTGTGTTTATGCAGAAACCAATTAATTTACTAGTTTTTGGAGTTGCTGCTTTGATCATATCATGCTTAATACTTCTGAGACTTGTATTTGTCATCCACAAAGAAGTTCCTGCTTTGGAGACACAAAGCATTGACAATTATTCAAAGCCATGGAAAATGGATGAGGTTTTCATTTTGTTTGGTATCCTGATCCTTGTCATCAGTATGGGATCAAGTTCCATGATTGAGGAAGAGCATTATATCTGGCATTTCCTAACATCCACAATCACCCTGTTATTTTTTCGGAAAGCAATACAGTCTTTGGACCTTAATAAAGCACGTGATTTTCTCAGTTCAGTAAAGGAACAAAACAATACATCAGGATGCCAAATGATTTCACTGTTTCTTATTCTTCTTTCTGGGAGAATTTTGAGAGGCTGGCGTCAAGGTGGTGTAAATTGGACTCACCTTCCTGACATTTCTAAGTGGCTAGAGCAGGCTGGCAGCCAATATATAAACTTGATTCAGATAGCATCATGTGTCATGGTCATCATTTTGGGCATACTTATTTTGTTCTTACTGAAATCTAAAACAAAAGTTGTAATGGTTTTTGGGTTCTGCTTGTTAATGTCTGGTTTTTTGGTATTACGACACTTTGTAAAACATCAGAACATGTCTGCCTCATACAATAAGGATGCCAATTTATCAGTACAACTATTCTATGCCATTCTGGGAATCACCATTATTACAGTTGTATTGGTTTTGCCATGGATATTGCCTATGCAAACTCCTGGAATGTGCTCAAGGCAAAACTTATACAAGTCTGCTTCTGCTCCAGTTGAAATTCTAAACATGACACCAATTTTTGTATTAAAGGATTCCTTGTACATTGCTGGATGTGTGTACACAACTTCTTGGTGTCTTCTGCAGTTTTTGCTTCAAAAACCCGTAAACGTGATGCCTATGTTGTTGCTCTTTGTTCAAGTCTTGGCCAGCATACTTATTTTTTCTTCTAGTGGGACACGTCATAAGTGGGTTGAGGTTAGTTACAAGATGTCACAATAAGTGTTGGATTTTATTTTATATGCTGACCTCATATTGGTTTGGGGTCCTAAAGTTTAGTGCTAAATTTGAAAGTGATTGCCCTGGAGTCTAACTGAGGGTAATCTAAGTTCACTTTTAATTTTTCAAGTGTGTTTCTTTGTTTTGAAAACTGGTACTGATATTACTATGTTTAACTTTGCTTTCTACTAAAATCCAATGGTTGTAAATTTATGAAAATACTTGGTTGATGCTGAAGTTATTGCATTATGATGATGCCATGTTACACATTCTTGTTTCTACACTACACATTATGCATTTTCTTAAACGCACAATGAGTATTTGAATGTGTTTTAAAATGCTGATCAGTTACTTAACACAATGCTTTTATTAGATTACTGCTCTGTACAACCTGGGAATGGCAGGCCATTTTGCTCTTGGGAACAGTAATACGCTGGCTACTATTGATGTGGCTGGAGCTTTTATCGTAATGTCTTCTATTTCTCTTATGTAATTATTTTCAAAAGAGCACATTATTTTCCGTTATGCATTCAAGATTTGAATTGTTCATAAATATCTAATTTCTCAGCAAGTTATTACCTTTCATTGGCAGGGAATTTCAAGTCACTCAACCTTCCTTTCAGGTCTTCTAATGTTCATCATTACTTATGCATCTCCAATGTTATTTTCTCTCAGTATGGTGCTGTACATCTCTGTGAAGGTCACAATCTGTCCACTAATTACCAAGGATGGAAATTCTGGAGAAATTCTCAAGACCCTTCTTGGTTTTCCTTGCCTAGTACCTCTCAGCATAAATTCTGTTCTCTTGACTGCATACACGATTGTTTTGCTGTTGATGAGAAATCATTTATTTATTTGGAGTGTCTTTTCTCCCAAGTGAGTGTTCCTTGAATCTTGTGTTTAGTAGTTAATGAATAAAGCAAACACAGATTATCCTTTGTGATTGTTTTTATTTTGATGTTGAAGTTATAAGGATTTATTCTGATTTTCTGACATTATATTTAATTATTTATACATGTCATCATTTAACCTTGCAAAACTAACATTATCAACTGTTCTGTAGGTACCTTTATGTTTGTGCTGCAACTGCATGCGTCTATATTGGGGTCTTCATTGTAGTTGCTACTGTGATTCATACTTACATTGTGCTTTTTGGGCTGAGAAAGAGTTTCTTCACACGTAACAAGGAAAATGGTACGTGGTGATCCTTTGTTAAGAACAAATTAGTATTGAACTATCAAAAAGCAATTTTAATTCTTCTAACGGGCTTGATTAGTAATTAAATAATGCTTTTATTTTGAGGGGTAGAGGGGAAGCAGGTGGAATATAGCAGTCTGATACCCCTCTGTGCCTGCCTCTGGCTAATCATTTACTGTTGAATTCTTATTCGTTGATGAAGTAGGATATAACCGATTGGTTTCGCACACTGATTGAGGTATGCATATCTACACCGCAAAAAATGTTTTTGAAGAAGTTTTAGGATGAGTTTGAAAACATAGTTTAATTAATTGTTCATTCAATAAGCTATTTTTACATGTGGGCAAAAAGCTTATGAATGTATATGTTATTTGCCTAAATTTTTCATAAACTCTTTCAAACATGCCTTTGGTAGCAAATGCAAAAATCCAATGGCTTAGTGGGGGTAAATATTAGTTTGGAAAAAGATTCATACCAGGATGGTTTGGTTTATCTAGAATTGAACGGATAGGACTTGTGGTGTAAACGAGTAGTAGGTATAGGAATTTGCTTCTCTGGGTCTGTGCTTGTCCCTTCTCAGGCTAGAAGTGTACTTTTTAATGAGCTTTTGGCAAAATGGTGAGAATTTGCTCTTCCATGAACCCATACAATAAGCCATCTAGCCTCCCCTCTACCCATACAATCCGGTCATTTTAGAACATATTTGGCGAAGATGATAAGATATAAGAATTAGATAAAACAGTAATATGACAAGCGTGAGATAGAATTCTTATTTAAATAAAATGATAAAGTAGATAGTATTATGTCTTTTCATCTAACATTTTAGATATATACATATATATAAATTACATTTAAATAATAAAATAATATTTTTTTTATCAAAATATAAATATTTTCTATAACTAATTTTTAATTCAACTTTTTAATTTTTAAATAGAATACATATATATATATATATACATATATAATTAAATATTTAAAAATATTTTATGTACAAATAATATTAATTTTATATTAAATTATAATAATTTTCTTAAATATTAAAGTTTACAATTAAAATTTAAACCTTTTTTAATAAATTTTTAAGACTTAAAATTATATTTTATAAAATGAGTAAAATGATTTTTTATTAAAAAAAGTGTTTTTCAAAAAATTATTTAATAAAGTTCATATAGTTTGCTTTAATAAAAGTATTAAAATTATATTTCTAAATTATTTTTTTTCTATAAAATATTAAAGTGAGGTATGGATAAGAAAAAAAAGAATGAAGTTATCTTATTCTAATGATTCTTAATTATTTACCTTTTTCATAATAATATTTGACCTATCAAAATAAAGTTTGATAATTCAACTAGATAAACTATCGTATGATAAGTTATCCAGTCCTCCCATACATGCTTTATTGTTTTTTTTTTTTAAAATGAACTGTTGTTTGCTTTTAAAGATGATACTACTACCTATTCCTGAAATATTTGGGACCAATGATGAGTCGCGAGGATTTATGCGAATTGAATGTTTTTCGGACGTTTAATTGAAGGCGATCAGTTAAAAAAAGGGTAAAGAAATAGTGTAAAAAAAAAAAGGTGTGGTGTGACTATAAACTACTTTAAATTAATTTTTTCTTGTAATATTTAAAAAATGTATATTTATTAAACAATTTAGATGCATGTTTGTGACCCAATTTAATGTCTTATAATGAAATAAATTTTTAGGTAAAATAAAATCTTTAAAAAATGTTATATATTAGATAAGTAGGTTAAAGTTTGAATATTAAAAATAAGATAATTTCAGGTCTCGCGAAATTTTGATCCAACATAACTCATTTTTATCCTTAGATATGTGATAACAGATAGAAATGAGTTATTTATAATTAATATTTTAAAATTATATACTTATTAATTTATTTGGTGGTTTATGTTTTCTTACCTAAATGTAAGTGTAAGTTCCCTGATCTGTTTAAACATATATATATATATATATATATATATATATATATAATTTAATAGGTTTGATAATCAAATAGACATTTAAATTGGCTTTTGGATCAGGTTAAATTTTAAAATAAAAAAATATTAAGTGATTATACTTAAACTGTTGGAGTCTGTCTAGTGTAAAAAAATCGAGAGAAAAGAATAATGAGAGAAAGAAAGCACATATTTCTAATTTTTCCACAGTTTGGTATTGAGTATAACGGAAGAGAGAAAGAAGTTTAGTTAGGGGATCCATTTAAAACTTATCTCCCCTAATAGAAGAAGAAAATGGAAGAGAAATGGTACCATTAATGTAACTTTCCATTTTATCCATAAAACAAAATGTTATAATATATGCATTTTTCCAGAAGACATGAAACATTAGTATCTGTTGGTGCAGCATGGCTATCATGGCATATAATAGTGATTATTAAATTTTATTTATTTTAGTTAAAATAAATATTTTATTGTTTTTATTAAAACTTTTTGTTTAAAAAATAATAATGATTAATCATTATTTATTATAAATTATTTTAACAAAAGCTATATTTTATAATTTGAGTGTTAATAATATTGAAAAATAGTTTGAAAATTTTATTTATTCAAAATATGTTACATCAAGTACCATTTTATATGAGGATAAAAATATCTTTTTATTCCGATATCATTTTTGTATTCATTTTTTTCTTATTTTCTCTTATATCCAAAAAAGTGTTAATTTGAAAAAATAAAGTAGATTTAAGTCTTGTAAATTTTACCCTAATATCTTCATCCTTTGGCATATGGCAAAACAAAGATGTTTGGGGAATGACACCACACTCTGATTCAGAAGTGAGAGAGATACCAAATCTAAACGAACGCGTATCGTGCCTGACTGTTGTTGAGTCGTTGACCACCCGTGTAACATATAACGATAATCAATAATCATAATCATCATCAATCAATAATCAATAATCAATAATGGACATAAAACCATAAACAAAATCAAATAAAGAAGACAAATTGCGGAGCAAGCAAGCAAACGGTATTCAAATGACATAAAGAACCCTTCGCCACCCATCCTTTGTCCCTTGATTTTCTCACTTCTCACTCACTCACTCACTCACTCACTCATACCATCAACAAACACATGCGATGGATACCCCAATAGGATCCGTGCCCATACCGGAAAACAACCCCATCGCCACGTGTGCTTCCATGCTCTCCCTCCGCCACTTTCTCGCCTGCCGCGATTTCGCACGCCGCCTCCCCCACTCCGAGTCCATCTCCCGAATCCTCGCCGTCGCCGACGTCCTCTCCGCCGCCGACTTCTATTCCGTCCTTCAGCTTCGCCCCTCCGACGCCGCCAACCGCGACCTCACCCGCCACCAATACGCCAAACTGGCCCTCCTCCTCGATCCCACTAGCGCCGACAAGTTTCCCTTTTCTGACGAAGCCCTCGCACGAGTCCAAGAAGCTTGGCACGTGCTCTCCCACCCCGAACGCCGTGCCCTTTACGACCGCGAGTTCCAACGACTCCGGACGACGACGTTTTGGACCGTCTGTCCCTACTGCTGGAACCTCTTCGAGTACGAGAAGAGATACGAGGATTGCTCATTGCAGTGTCAGTGTTGCTCTAAAGCCTTTCATGGCGTCGCCATGAAGCCGCCGGAGAAGGTGGGTGCCACGGTGGTAGAGGGGAAGGAGCTCCGGCAGTACTATTCTTGTCAGGCGAGTGTGCCCTTGATGTATTATGAGGTGAAGGAGAATGAGGGTAACAACATTTTGGGTGGACAAAGTAACAATTTTGTGTACATTTCTGATGATGATAATGCTGAAGGGTTAGAAGGGGTGGAGGGTGATGTGAGGAATGAAGGGTCTGGAACAGTGGACTTGCAAGGCAATGGGAAACGGAGGATGAGAGTAAAGACTGTGGCAAAGAGGCCTATCAGGAACAGGCACAGGATGAGATGTCTTGATACTGATAGTGACATCGATTTGGATTTGGATGTGCATGATGGTGAATTGGAGTTTACAGAAGCAGATGGTGATGTCTTTGTTGGTGTACGGTTTGACAAGTGATGGATGTTAAGGTGAATATGACAACTTTACTGCTTTCTTTTCTTTACTAATTCTAGGAGCATGATATAGGCTACTGGTAGTGTGTAGTGTTTTTGGATAGTGTTGTTGTGCACAGATTATTTTTGGGAGCAGAGAAACAACTGAAAACAGCAACTTGATAGTTTAGTGGTTGATTCCGTGCTTCCTCACTTTGGAAACGAGGCTTTGCGTTGTTTATATTTTACCATTTTTGTAATGCCTCTTTTGTCTTCACCTTTTGAAATTGAAAAGAAAATATTTGGTCTCCCTTCTAAGATTTGTGTGCTGATTTTAATCTACATGTCCGTACATTGGAAATCTTTCTTTTTGTCTGATAGTTTTGTGGTAACCGCAAAAGAAATGTGTTCTCTTATCAATACAACTAGGCTTCTCAAAGAACATGTTTTCCTTTGCAGTTTTCATTGTTTATCAATCATCATTTGGTCTTGCCTGTTAAATTGCTATTGATGGTTAGTAGGGTCTCCAGATCACCAGGACATGTAAATGAGCAGTTTCACCACTCACCTCAGAAATGATGGAATTATAGTGATTTTCTTTCGAGTGAATATTTTTTAAGCCAAACTTGTTTTGATTTAGTTTAATTCAAAATGGAATGTATTTGCTGGACCCGGATTCCCTGCTGTAACTGATTACTGTAGGGTGCAGTTGACGCCAGAAAATGAGAGAATTCGAGGCTGTATTTGCTTCAGTTCTTATGGAACCCCCCCCCCCCCCAATCAAGACACCAGATAACGATCATATAGGAATAGTTTCTTTATTTGGTCTTGGTACCGGACAACAAATCAATAAATAAAACGTTTTTATTAGAAATTACATCAAGGTGTATTGAAAATTTGGGGGAGAGTGCATTAATAACACTATTTAATTATTATTATTTTTATTACATAATGAGTGGCCTTAACATTTACCCTTTTTATTTTCTCTATCCTGGACAGTTGTACAACAGTTTACTCTCATCATCCTTTGTTTTCAGTCATTTTATACGTTATGTGCCTTGTATCTTTCAATTCATTGCAAAATCACTTCCTTCTGCATTTTTGTTTTTTCCTGAGTATTTATGGAGCAGTGTAGCTTTGCCAATATTTGCTATTTGAATTAACTGCATATGGAAGAATGTTCTTGTTGAATCTGCTGTCCCTACTGAAAATGGTTGCACTTAAATCAGTTTTCTTGAGAGTCAATTTTTGTGGGGAGGGAGGAAAAGGAAGGAAGGAGAAGACTTATTTGATGACAATTCTTGTTTGAAACTTTTTAAATTAAAGAGGGGTTTTATAAAATTCTTCAAAATTCTCCTATTTCCATGTTTTTAAGTTTTCTTAAATTGAGAAATTTTTTATGAACTTTATTTCTTCTTCCCTTTTCTTTTCCTCTTTTACCCTATCATTTTTTCTCCCTCGAAACTTCCCTACAAAGCCTAAAGGACCTAACAATGGTGTCATGTCAAAACTGATAAAATAGATAGCTAATCTTTACAGCCTGACCTTAATCAAATAGATATTAGTGTTTGATCTCTGCTAAAAGCTCTTTGATGATCTATTAGCAGAGTACACATGGGCAATAGCATTACTGAAAAAACTGTTGATTTTCTTCATAATATAAATGAATTATATTATTACTTGTTTTGCTTTGGTACATGAGTAAAGTATGATTCGATAGGCTTTGCTTCAGGCATTCAGCCCATCTTATTAGTATTTATTTTCTTTGGTCAAATTAGTATATCACCGGGTTTTTGACTAGGGTACGCCGTTGCGTGATGCGCCGGGCCCATTACTTTTACAACATCTAGATGAAGTAGGATATGGTCTACAAGACTGGTCAACTATCTTAACTCCGCTTTGTTGGAAAAAGTAGTTATTTTGGTAAAAATTGCGGGAATTTCTTTTAAGAACATAGAAACAAGGAAAGCCCAACATTGTAATAGGCTTACGGGCTTAGCATTTCTGGCTCAACCTCGACTTGTTCACGCCTCACATCGTAAAGATTCAGACCTGAATGAATATGTAAGCAAAATATTAAACTCAGAACGTGCTTCATATTATACTTGTAAATGCTTTACATATATTAAATTAATATATTTTAGTGATTCACTGCCAGTACTATTTCCATTCCAAAATACATATCAGGTTAGTTGGTAAAAGTATAAAAAGAAGATAAATGATATTTTTGCTTCACAACAAATTTTATGAACAAGAGATAAAGAAAGAAAAAGTATTATAAAAAAATAGAGAAGTCAGAGATTAAATAATGTGATGAAGATATATAAATGAAAGTAATATTATTTCAAAAAAGTATTAATCTATATATTTCATGCAAGAACACATGCTCATCGTTAAAGTAATAAAATTTAATGCAATTTCTATTTAGATACTTATGGATGCTATACTTTATTCTATTTCAATATAAATGAGTCTTTTAAGGGACAGATGGTCTTTCTGCTATTCTTAGGATCCTTGATAATTGGTTTTAATCTTGGTTATTCACTTTAGAATTTCAAAAGAAGATATAAAGATTTTCAGTAAATTTAGATATACTTAAAAACTTCATTTCATCTTTTAGAATACCAAATTTTATAATAAGATATTTAAAATTAGCTTTTGGTAATGTTATAAGTTACAGAGGGGGAAATGCCTCTAGGAGGCTTGTTTTAGTTGATTACCTTTGTTATCTTATATTAATTATTAACTAAATTATTATTTAGACGAGTGGATTGTACGGCTTGTTGACACCAAACCCAGGATGATGGTGAGCTGTCTCTCGGTAAAAGTGAGAAGCATATATATCCGTTAATTATATAAAGATTTGAGTTTCATTTTAATACATTATTTTTTGTAAAACTTTTTACACTATTATTAATTAGATAGCATTTAAAGAATGGCTTTTAAAGTAATTATATAGAAATCAATGATTTTCAATAATATAACAATTTATAACAGGTTAATGGTATAAAAAAAATGTTTACTGTTAGGAAATCCCAATTAAATTTAAGATTTAATTTTTTAGCTCTTAAAAATATATTTTTTAATTTGTTTCATATATTTTAATTTTATTAATTTTAGTTCAAACATTTAGCAAGAACACTGTTTTTTTTTCTTTACCACTCAGCAAGAATAAAGTAGATGATATTTTGGGTCCTTTGGTTGCCTTGGTTTATTTGTGACATAGATTGTGAGTGTGCAGGATTGATTTTATGAAATGCATTATACTCTTTTCTTACTTTTTCTTCTCCCTTTAAAATGAGTGAGTGTCTATGACTTTAAAATGTATATTATCAAATTTCATTGAGATTTTTATTTAAATATTATAATTAATAATTTAACTAACTAATAAAAGAGTAATTTATATAAAAAAATATTTTAAAATGTGTGACAATAGACTTACCCTTAAAACATACCATGAACTTTCCTTTGATTGAAAAAGTGCATGATTTTTGTAATTTTTAAGAAAGAAAAATGAAAAAAAAAATAGAGATTAATTTTAAGAATGATTTTTTAGAGAGAAAAATATATTTAAACAGGTAAACCTTGTATAAATGAATATAAGACAAATCGAGATAAACGAGTATAAGTCATATCAAGTCATTGTTAAGTTGCTTTTAGCGCTTGGGGTCTTGAAATGCAGACATGCTGATACAGTACATACACATTAAGTGTGTGCCTTTCACCCTCGAATTTTCTGACTTTTTCTTCTGATTACCGATCACACAGACGTTTTCAGTTTTTTTCCGACTGACTGATCATCGAGCTTGGGGTCTTGAATAAATTTTTATTAAGAAAAAAATTATAATAAAAAATATTTTTTAAATTAATATTATTTTTTTACAAATTTTTTTAATGTAATTTAATTATTCTTTTCATTTTATGGTTTATAACAGTAGAGTTCATGAAAAACACGATCACCCTCGTTCGGAAATAAATGTACAAGTTGCATGCTACCAAACTCTTCCATAACGGTACTCCTCCCTTCCTCTGCATGTTCTATGCCTTCTCTATCCCTACTATTTTCCTTTTCTGCATGTTCTCCTCTACCCATTTCTTCAATCATGAAATCTGAAACGGAACGAAAGTTAACAAGCAAATAGCATAACACTAACGCAAGTGGAGCTAACTTTAAGCTCATCTTCATAACTGTCACCAAAAAACCTCCAACAAAGAAGTTGAAGACCCCAACTTCGAACCCAAGTTGGAGTTGTCTCGACAAGCTCAAAGCCATGATGGCAAATGCTCCAATTGAAATCAGGTTCATCATTTTGCCGTACCCTTTTTCCACCCTCCCTCCTTCTTTGCGATCTTCCAAAAAAGACCACATAGAAGTAAACAGTTAAGACAAGAAAACCCACCTGTGCTCTCAACTAGAAACTCCTCGCAAATCCCCACTTTAATCTTTTCACGAAGAGCATTAAGATGCATAAAGGAGTGGTTACCGCGCTGTAGAAAAAGAGCTTCAACGAGGTCCAGTGTCCGAACAAGTCTTGGAAGGAGGGGCTCAGTGCAAAACAGCTGAACCCAACTATGTTTGACACAAAGCCCGCGAGTCTCCATAGCAACGGGTGGATTAGGAGTTTTGATATTGAGTTTGGGAAGAATCGAACTTTGAACATAGATGTGAGTGAGAGGAATTGGTAAAAGTTAAAGATTACAATTTAGAAGTGATATAAGAATATGGACTTGCTATAAATGATGTCCTTCAGTCAGAGTCTTCCTCATTTAACAGCTAGCGGAGGTGGAGAATGAAAGTTCCCCGATCACGTCTCTCTGATTAAAATTATAAAAAGGTTGTTGGGGGGGGGGGGGGGGTGGTGTGGAGGGGATGGGGGCATGATTTACAGCATAGGTGGACATTCAAGGAAAATTATTTGTTCACACTCAATTGGAGCTTTTGCCATCATGGCTTTGATAAACAAAATTATATGGTTCATAATATAATAAAAAAATATTAAAAAAAGCAAAAGTGGTATAATTAAAGTTAGAAATTGAAATCTCCGGAAAGATCTGTTTATATGTATATAATTGAGGCCTTGAGGATGAATTAGATCTAAGGTAGTATTGGGCTACAGAGACACGAAGGTGCGTATTATGTTATGTTAGTGTTTTGCGCAGAGATAAAAAAACGCGTATTATGTTTTGTTAGTGTCTTGTGCAGAGATAAAAACACGTGACTCAAATTTGATAATTTTAACAAATTACATAATTTTAATAAATTGCATAAATTATCAGTATAATTTTTATATTTAAACATAATATACAAATACAAATATTAGTGTTTTTGTATTGTCTAAGTGTCTCTAGTGTTAAAAGATGATATCCAAATGCTATATAAAGTATGTGATTTAGGAGCCTCCCTTGGGTTTGCCGCATGGAACCACACACGCACTTGGAATATACTGTGAATGGACTTGACTAATTTTCCTTTTCTTAAATAGAATGTATTTTCAGTTTGTCATTGGCTTGGCGGCTTAGTGGTGTCAACTGTCAAAACCATAGACGAGGTGGCTTTGCTATAATTTCAGGAGTTGCTTTGAAATACAAGCTATGGGGTTAAAGTTGTTAATGTGAAAGAGTGTGGGTCGCATTGAAAAGGGAGTTACTTATACAAGCAATTGTTATATGTAAGAAAATGGGACACACATATATATGTTGAATCAAAATTCAGTTTTATATGGTAAAATTTATTTTATCCAATAAGATATGCAGATTCTCTCTGGTAGATGACATGAGAGCAAATCAAGGATTTTATCTTAAAGATCTTAAAATTAAGTTTTAAATCATGCCTCTATTAAATGCTAATAATGTTGTGATTATCTTCCAATTCTCCATAATTAGAAATTAAAATTTTCCTAGTAATATTAAATTGCAAAAATATGTCATAGACTTGCAATTACATCATTCATTATATTCATCAAGGAAGATTCTTTCCCTTCTTATAAAATAATGGAATAGTTGTGACCAAAGGCAAACATCTCCCAATCTTGCTTGTTTTGCGTTAGTTGCACTTTACTTACCTCTTTTGGCATAAAAGCTTCCACAGGAGGCAAATCAGTTGAATACCATGGTTTTACTACGACAGGTAATAAGGTTATTACAAGTTGTATTGTTTACGGTTAAATTAAAGCATGTTTTGTTATTTGTGTTATACTAATTAAAATAGTTATAGCAGGGCATACAGCATGTTCGAAATTACTATAACTCAGAAGCTCAAATGATAAGAAGTAGCTTTTCTCGGCCATTCATCTCACAGACATACAAACAAGGTTTCTCAAAGCCAAGATCAAAGGCCGAGGTCAAATTACTGGCTGCTAAGAAACATAGTGAAGCAGAAAAGAGACGTAGAATGCGAATCAATGGTCAATATGAAACCCTCCGCAACGTCCTCCCTAACTTGATCAAAGTAAGTGCCTATACAGTTTATTGTGCCTTGGATTTTATTTTTTTTTCTGAATAATATATTAAATTAGTCCTTAAAATTATCAACACCATTGAATTTAATTAATAAAATTATAAAACTACAATCATTTTAGCCTCTAAAATTACAACAATAAGGACTAAAATGACTTATAATAGATAAATTGGAGGACTAAAATAGCATTGGTAATTTTAGGAACAAATTTCAGGAATTAATTTAGTGTATTCATCGATTTTTTATGGTCCATTCCTAAAAATGAAACCGATCATAAGAAACTGAAATTTGCTTACTTCTTTTTTATGTTTATTTATAATTTCCCGCATTACAATTCTGTCCTTATTTTGATTTTTCTTGACAAGCTGCTGATTTAAATGCTGTTATCAACTAACAGAAGGACAAGGCAACAGTGTTAGCAGAGACTATCAAGCAAGTGAAGGAGCTGAAGAAAAAAGTATCAAAACTGGAAGAAGATAGTCATGGTAACCCAAAGGAAGTTAAGTTTCCAAGTGGGGCAGACAGGTTGAATTTGGAAAAATGTTATGATTCACAGGGCCTAGTGAAGGCCACATTGAGTTGTGAGGATAGGCCAGGATTGATGTCAGCTATAACAAGGGCTCTGGGGTCAGTGAAAGCCAAAGTGGTAAAGGTTGAGATGGTGACTGTGGGTGGAAGAACAAGAAGTGTGTTGTGGGTTCAAGGTCATGGAAATGAAGGCCTAGGAATGCTCAAGAGTACTTTGAAGGTTGCCATGCACAAACCAGCTTTTAAGATGCGGCGGTTTACTCAATAACTTTTTTGTGTTGTAGGATTCCCTGGATTTTGACTTCTACCGGTGGAGGAATGTTGACGCAGTTAGGAGCTATAGCAAGGGATAATAACAAGTTTTTCTAGGTTTGAGGATATTACGGAATAATAAATTAATAATGACTTTAAGAACTTTGTACACCCAAGGGTTCCTTCACATTTAGGATTAATGTGTCTCTTTCTGCAAGTAAAACTAAGCTTTTACATTTTAGTTTTTGTATATGGATATCATGTATGACTCTTCGTATGAAGTATATAATAATGTGACGGGTTGACATGGAATCACTTTGTAGTTTGTCCATGTGATTAGTTGGTAAGCCGTCTCGTGTTAACAATCACAAGTTGGTAAAATCCAAAGTTTTATTATAAAGGAAAGAAATATCATTCAAGAAATATGGATAAAGAGATCACAGAAGAGTTACACGCCAACTGACAGCTCCTAAGTACAAAACGTTACTTTTGAATCTCAACAATAGACACTAATTCTCCTTATAACGTGTAAAGTGATTATTAACTTGGAAACCGTGATAATAAGTACTTATTTATCACTTATTTTCCTTTATTACTTCCTCATTTTGTTTATATTTGTTTTATATATTATTAAAAATAAATAAAATAATTCAACTACAGAATGAACATTAAAGAAAGGTAATCCCCATTCTACTTGGATGAGAGAAATGCTGATTTTCACTATACCAAAAATATCCAAGAGATTGCTTATATCTCAACTCAAACTCAATAAAACGTTTGAGCTGATGCATCTCTACTTGTTCTCACATGTACACCAGAATTTTTGTCATAATGGTTAGCAGTGAAATATCTTTTAAAGTCAATTCCCCTACTGCCACTCTGATTTTTGTTTTTGTTAGCATACAAAACTGCTTTATCTTCTGAGTCCTGCCGGAGCCTCCTACTCGCATCACTATCCACTAAGAAATCTGTACTCAAGTTATCATGGGAGGAAGAGGCCAAAGAGTTAGATGAAAGCCCATAGTGACTATACCAATTGGGTCCCACCTCACCAAATATGTAATCCGAGAAGTCAGCAGAACTGGCTGAGTCCTTGATACTAGCAGTACTGCAAGAACTTGCATCTGAAGAGCTGAAAAGTGAACTTTCACTGGAAGAATCCACCATTGCATTTCCACCCCCATACTGGAATCTCCATTCTTCTGGATAAGCAAAATCATTGCTTAAGGAATCATCAACAGCATTCGAGTAAGGGTACTTGACATGCTTTTGCTGTAGGGAAGGAGAATCACCGCTTGTAGCAGTGGAATTTGATCTTGTCTTAGAAGTAGCAGGAATGGCTTCCAGGTTCCTCCTCTTGAACTTTCCAGCAGATGAGATTGCATTGCTACTTACTAAACCCAGGGGCTTTGGAGAGTGCCTGAAGATTTTTAACATCAGCTTAAAGCAAAGTTAGTATTACTGCTGAGACATTCCACAGAAGTAATAAACATTCTAACCAGAAATTATACATCAACATCCGCAGGCCTATTACCTTGCATAAAGAAGCATGTATGCCCTTTCTGACAAGACTCTTGACAATTCAACAGGTTCTACCTAAACAGAAGCACAAATGCCATCCTCAGTTTACACACAGAAATCATAAATAAAGTATGCACACTTGATATTGTCAATGCTTCTACCAAAGGAGTATCTTAAAAATTAACGACACAAGTTGTAAGAAATAAACTTCCAATAGTATTTCATTGCAATTTTTTAAGAAGGTTTCGGTGTTTCTTTAAATTTGAAAAACAAAAGGCACAAGTAGCTTTCAAAAACATTTCTAATTCTTAAACTCAACAAAAAAAAATTATTTTAAAAAATATCTTCCAAGGAATTAACGAAACCTTTAAAACCTTGTACTACGTACCAGATGCTTCAAATTTAAAATTTAAGCTTATTTATGTGTGACTGTGGAAGGTGCTGAAAGCATTTTATTACCTCAAATTCAAGCAACCATTTTCTTTTCCTTCATAAACAAACTGCGAATGAAAATTCAGGACCAATCTCCAACTCAAAACCACTTCTAGAAAACTTTTAAAAATTGCACAAACTTCTACAGAACAAGAACAAAACAGGATTTTCTTCCCATTCATAGTTTATTTCTATTGATTCTTCACGTATTGAAAAGTCTTGTTCTTAACATAATGAAGATGAGAAGTGGATGCCTTTGTTGTCGAATAAAAAGACAAGCATATATGAACATCAAACCCAAAAATCATATGAATCAAGTATTTGTAAAAAAATTTGGGGAGGTGACTAAGGGAGGGAAGGAGACATTCAGCCACAGAAAAGGTATATCAGGATAAAAAAATTCACCCTGCTGTCATCAGTTCTGAACCATTCTCCATGGGTGTTCTTCACATAACAGACATAATGGCCTGAAAATGCAGCATTCATGATATCCAAATGAACAACCACTGCATAGAGGCTATATATTGGAGACTTATCTTTCGTTCCACTCATATATGGAGCCATATTAAGGACCTCAGGGAACTGAATCGACTTATTCAACTTCTCAAAGTTACCAGACTGCCAAAATCAACAGCAGAATATGCATGAGGTACGTAATATAAAACCAAAATTACACTCAAAGAACAAAGTAACTAGATAACACGTAAAACTTCAAAATCAATACTGAAGATGTACCTGAAACCGTTTTAATACAATTGTAAGTATATTTGGTGCCTCCAATACTGTCAACTTCTTCCTAGCTTTCTCATAGGATTTACATCTAGATAGCAAGAAAATAAAAGAACAATAATTTCATAAAGATGGTGTCTGTGTCCCCCACAAGAAAGGAAAAGTAAATCTTAAATACCATTCTTGCCCCCATGAAACTGCATAACATTTGTCTTTCATAGCACTACTTCAGTATTCATAAATCAGCATAAAGAAGTCCACATAAAATAACAAAATCCAGAGGACAGACTAAAGATTGTGCTCAGAACCTAAAGCTCTGAATATCTAGTACACAATATATATGGGCAAAACAATGACTGTGATCACACCTTTAGTTTAATGAAATTACATTAGCTGAACATGTCCTAAGAAGTTCCTAAATTGAAGCAATAAATTCATCAAACAGATTAAAAACAGTTAAGCTCAATGACAAGGTCCCACATAATTCTTCTTCCACACACTCCACAAAGTATTTTGAGCAAACTTCTCATTTTTCTTGTAACAGCAGCATTCCTTCTGAGAGGATCAGAAGAACCATGAAAAGATGAGTCATTTCATAAAGGCCCAAGTAGGCCAGCACTACACCATAGATTCCCGTCTGAAAAACACCTGTCCACTTCCACAGCTTCCAGTCAATTTAGTCATGTTAGTAATTTATTCGCCTCCCAATAAAACCTTGAACTTCAGGTTTAGGATCTTTTCTTCTACTTCTAAAGCTCCACAAAGCTTTAAAATAGTTTATCACTTCATTCATAATGGAAGGATTGTATCTTAGAACTATAGTGTAACTAACTATTCGTTCTAGCAAGAAAGATTAAATCAGCAATTACTCATCAGATTAGGAATTTAATTTGTTAGTTAATACTCAGAATCTAAATCTTGACAATTTTTACTAGGGATCTTTTCAAGTCCAATTTTAACTGGAAAATAGAAATTGAATAATAGTTTTCAATTTTAATATTGATGTGCCATTCAACAAAATGGAATAAAATTCAATTACCACATAACTTAGCTACAACAAAAGTGATGTTTTATACTGGCTAGGGAAAATGAAAAGAAAACTAAGCACAGGGTCGTTATAACTGAAAAACAATAGACAAGAAATGGAAAGAAAATTAACAAACCTGCTGCAATTATACTTATTATCTTTATCCAAGATTTCTGGGGCCGTAAATTGTCCAAGAGCCTCCTCCAAAGTTCCAATATCCCCATCAATCTCAACAGTGAGATCCATCATTCTCTCATACCTCTCAGATTTCCCCAGGCACCTTAAGCACTTTATCTGCAATTTGCAACAAATAAATCTTAATACATAGGGAAACTATTTTTTCTCACTCAATTAAAGCTGAAAATGTGAACCACAACAAAATAATACTCTCTTAGATTGGAAACAACCTTAGATCGTAGATAACCACCAAAAGTGTAACCAACAAGAGTTGTTTCTTCTGCCAAAGGACTTGAAACACCAGCTTCCTTCAGGCAAATGGATTGCATCGTATCAACCACACACCTGCCAGTTGAATAATTTATCACATAGACAACTTGGCATATAAATTCAAGACGACTTCCAAGCCTGATGTGTGAATCATCTTTAGCAATTATTTGGCTCACCTCAAAAATTCATGTGCATCTTCCTCCCTTCCATGCCCTAGATGGCTTCCAATCTTGTGTATCTTAGATAATATCCCAATTGGTGAAAGTGGAGAATTCCCTTCTTTCGCCTTCTGAATTAGATATTCAAACTCACATGTAAAACACCATCCCTTCTTCTGACCTAGTTAAAGCATTATGAAGATTTAATTAATTGCAAGGCCCCAATAATTAGACAAGTTAAAGCATGAAGATATTATTAGGAGGAACTTGCATCGTTTTGAATGGAACCCTTGAAAAAGATATGCAGTCAAAGGCCGAGTATATGCCAAGCACTGGAGTACTGCATTAGCGTAACAGCTGCAGGAGAGGCATTTCAATTATAGCAATAAGGTAACTAATGTTGAATAGGGAAAAAAAAAAAAACATAAACAAGCAGTGGATATCTCCCTTGAACTACATAAAAAAACACAACATAGAAACAAGAAGTAAACCTTTATAGGCATCAATTATTTTAGTTCTAGACTTTATAAAATCCACACTTTAGTCCCCAACTCTACAAACAGGCATGTTTTAGTTCTTTTTCGTTTCATTTTCTACTGTCATTTTGCACAAAAAAGACTAACATGAATGACATTTGACAAAGTAAATGACTAAAATAAGGATTCCACAACTAAAGTGACCAACATTTAAATTCCACAACTAACATGAATGGGGGTTTAACCTAGAAAAAAGAAAACATTGAATACTATTACAATTACAAAAGCAGCCAGCCAGCAGCAATAACATTTTCTAGATGTCTGCTCAAAAGTTTCCTAGAGGCCTACCCTACAACAACAACCAAACTTTATCCCACTTGATGAGATCAGCTACATGAATTAAAAAATGCCATTGAACTTGGTCATAAACCAAATTCTCAGAAATCCAAAGGCCCTACTCTACTCACAAAAGTTTCTTTCATCACAGGTATCACACTTTAATCTTATAATTCTAGGACTATGCTCCACGAGAGAGTATCCAAAGAAGAAATGAAGAAACATAAGGCTCCAAAACAAAGTAACAGACTCATCACTCACTCCTTCCTCCTCCCTGCCTCTCACTGGAGCAGTTACATAGCCAATAACATATTATATCAATCAACAGGAAGTAAAAGGAACTCTGCAATACCTGTTCCCACAGTTGGTAAGGCCAAAGGGGAATAGTTTCACCTTGTCATAACAGTAAAGTTCCGTAAAAAGTTCATAGGGAAAGCCCATCTGTCAAAACATACCATTTGTAAATCAACAGAGACAAAATTACTGCATAATAATAATAGTTATTTTCTAAAGAAATTAGTCAAATATATTCCCAACCTCACTTTCAACGAATATTGGATTGGATTTTGACTCTTTTGAGCTTCTAAACTGCTGGACAACTTTCTGCATTGATGTTTTCAAACCATTACGAACATTTTGTGGCAGATTTGGAATGGAACTAACTTTTGCAGGCAAGGTGTGATAATTGTCAGTTTTCGTAGACTTGGACTGTGAAACCAAATCCCCCTTAGTTGCTGAGGATAGTCGTTCACGAGAACTAGATGATGATCTTCGCCCTTCTTTGTATTTGGACAAATGAGATTCTTCTACATCATCAGTTACAGTATCTTTAATTGAACTACTCAAGGAAGGCACAGTTCTGCAATTAGAGGTGTCTGTTACCGAATTTTCAACTATTGTAACTTTTCTTCTGTGTTCATTGCCACCCAAATTTGCTGCCACATCATGAGATGCATCAGATTTAGTTTTTGGAATTTTTGATTTAAATCGAGTCTCATCAGTAGTGTTGCCAGAATTTGTCTTGCTTCTTTTACTTGCACAAGAATCCTTAACTTCAATATTCACAGAATTTTTAGATTCTGAGGAGAATGAGGGGGTCAACACAGTCTCTTTGTTATGAGAGGAAGAGACACATGTATCGTCAGCAGTGTTATCGCAAACAGGTTTAGAAAATCTGCTGCGACAGTTCTCATCAAATGATAACCTTGCAGCAACAGAAGGATTAAGGTTGGAAGATGAAATACCAGCATGTGTTCCTTTAATTTCTGCAGAGAATCTAGCTAAATTATACACCATATATGATGCATCATGCATGAAATAACATAATGAGACTTGCAATCAAAACCATTACCATGAAGACCAGACTTTGATTCAGATATGGATGCCCGGCAAGAAATATTTTCATCTAAGAGCTCCATGGTGGTAATTGCAGGACAACATTCATCCTTGTGACCTTGTCTCCAGTGACTAATTTGACACTTACCCGAACTACAAGAAAGCATGCTTGTGAAAATGAATAACAACCATTGTAACATAATAAGAGGCCGAAATGATGGCTTGAGACATGTCACTGAACAGAGAAGAGACATACGCAGAAGTAACTACAGATTTTCAGGAATGCAGCCATGTCAAATCATTAGTAAAACTACACGCTACAATAAAGATGACAAATCAAGCTCTAAATAAACAAATACAGTTCAATTTCAAACACCCAATAAAATAAATAAACAAAACCCTCAAAACATTCATAATTTCTATGTTGACAAGCAAAAGGAAAAGAACAATGGCTCCTAACTTCAGAGGAAAACACCTTACTTAAACAAAATAAAAAAGTAAATAGGTCTGGTTAGAGAATGCAATATACAAGGTGAACCAATAATATTTAACTTAACTCTCCCACTCAACAACACAAGCAGAGAATCTCAAGCCCATTTCTTGAAGAAAGATACAATTAAACCAATTCAATAAATTTTCACCAAGCTACCGCGCAACTATAGTCTCAATGTTGCTTGAACGTGAAATAACAATGTTGAAACCGAAGCACCAAATCTAAATCACTAAATTCACTAAACCCCTCCCACTGGCAGTGCATTGGCATCAAACCCATTTCTTCTGTTACCCTGTGAGGTTACTCCAAATTCCCAAATTAAAAAAAGAACAGAAACTTGGAAAAAGAAAACGAACCAATATCTAACGGCCTTGCAGCGAGAGCAGCGCATGGTGGTAGGGGAATAACACACTGCACATTGGTACCACCGAGACACCGTAATCGGAACCGAGCAAGAGTACTCCACCGAGGACGCAGCCGCAGCAGCCTCCATCTCTGCCATGGCAGCATCTTCCACCAACCTTACGATCTCCTCCTTCTTCGCCTCCGCATTCTTCCACACCTGACGAATCACCACAAAACCCAACACCAACAACGCATACACCAAACTCTGAAACCCTAAAATCCCGGGCACCAGCATCTCTCTACCTCTCTCTCTTGTTACCTTATCCGGCACCCAGGACCAACCCCGAACACAGGATCCACAGCGTCGTAATTTTGCTACGCATAGATAGGGTTTCCTGCGGCGGCGGACGGCGGCGGTGGGCAGAGAAATGAGGAAATGGGCGGCAGGGGCAGAATGGGAAAATCGCGGTGAGGTGTGAGCAGAAGAAGCAAGAGCGTCTAGATTCCGCGCGGTGCGTTTGGCTCTGAAATCGATTTTTTAGTATGGACTCAACTCAGACTGTCGAATTGCGAATATGCGACACAGCGATCTGTTTGTCGTTTCTCTTGTCGTCCGGGACTTGCCGTTTCCACATCCTTCTCTCCTTCCATCATTCTACATCAACGTTTCAACTCTCTCTTGGTTTTTAGTATTTATTATTATTTTACAAAAATAAAACTAAAAAAATGTTGGGTTGAGTTGGTAAATAAATAAATAATATAAATACTCGCACTTGCAACGTTGGAGGGTTTGTGTAGTACTGTTGCTGAACTTTGAACTAATGGCCTTTGGGGTTAAGATGAGATATGAGAGGGTAGGGTAGAATCTCTGTACTTGGAAAGTAACGGTGGAATCTCACTTCATAAAAGAAAACATCAATGTGCTCTTTGCATCCACTAATAATATTACTTTCCAATGCTATCGATGCCAGTTCAGTGCCACAACAAGGGTTGGGTTGGCTGTTACCAATTCAATTTGTGAGGATTTTTGGGACCAAACACAGTCATAATGTAATAACTCCGCGCCTTTGATGGCTTGCTAATAGACATAATCTAGGTGCAAAATTATAAGCATTATCTAAGCTATTTTTCAATTAAAAATAAAAAATTATATTACTTAAATATTAATAAGAAATAATATAATAATATACTTAAATTTAGTCTTTAGCAAGTCAGTTCCCTAGTTAATAATGATCAAAGAGGAATGACAGGGAGGGTACTCTCCACTTTTTCCCTCAGCTAACATGTAGGTCCCTGCTCTTCCTGCTAGCGAGAGAATAAACGACAGACTTACTTTTTAAACAATTTCAAATGTACGAAAAGTTACATTTTGATATTTTCAAATATCATCAAAATATTTAGTCGGAATAATCATATGCATATATTATTTTCAATTCAATGATTATTTCATCTTAAACTCTAAGCTTCGAGTGGCTATCCTAAACACTGGGAATAACAATGCGTAACATCATTTTAAGGTTTTAAATATCGGTAGGTTTTTGTTTGGAAATAACATGCTTGTATTAGCTTAATTTTAAGAAAATAATTGTTTTTATAATATATTTTAAAATTAAAATAAGTAAATTATTGTTTTTTAAAAGTAAATAAAACTAAACATGTATTAAGTATTTTAATTTAAAGTAATTTGGATTCAATTCTTACATGTACGTCTTATAATAATGTTTATGTTGGTTATTTTAGAGTGTAATTCGATGTTTGCAATGTCTTTTTAATTGTGGAGTCTCTGAGGGGAACCAAGAAGGGAACATTCTTCACTTTAACGGTCGAATAAAAGGGCATATCTTCTTCACTGGCAGACAATCTGGCTCTTGTGTAATGGGCTGCCAATATCTTGGGCCCAATACGATGTCCAGTCCGTAATACGAATAATTATGTTTTTTTTAGCTGGATACCATTTAAAATTCACTAAAACAAGTCAGCTTTTTTGTTTTTTGCCCAAATAGAGACTCATATCAGGTCTAATAAAGTGGAGGCAATGAAGGAAATAGAGAATTAGAAAGAATTAAGCACGTTGCTGGAGATCGAATTCATTCACTTATTATTTCTCTCAGAATTTTTAATATTATTTAACAGTCATCTTTTATAAATTATTTACATCATAAAATTTTAATATTTTTCTCGAAACTAACTCTTTTATTTGATATTAACTCTGCAGTACAACTGTCGCTTTGGCCGAGTGGTTAAGGCGTGTGCCTGCTAAGTACATGGGGTCTCCCCGCGAGAGTTCGAATCTCTCAGGCGACGGTTCTCATTTTTCAACATACTTCCTTTTGGTTTTGCAACTTTCAAAGAAATTTCCAAAGTAGGTCCCACATCGGTGAGTTGGAAACCAGGGAAGGTCGTTTGCCTTCTGCCTGCCCCGGACTGCACCTCTCACCTAAATGCCCCTGTTTTCTTTCATTTCGTGAATCTTTAATATCATGCAATAATTGTTTCTACATGTTTGTTTAAGCATTCTTATCTGAATAATTATTTTATTTAAAAATTTTAATAACCACTAATGTCTATATTCAAATTGTTTTACACGATATTCTTATTGTCTGAAACGAAGCCTATTGCGCTATTCACTTGGTCATCACCTGAACCAGTCCTTCCCATGATGTAGGACAGGTGGAGGGGCAAATGGCACGCTTCTGGAGGAAAAAATTTGGTTCCCATTGAAGAGGGCAAACTGGAAGAGTCAAGATAGAGAATAGCATTTGATTCTCTCCAATGGACGCTTTTAACCACTGGACTCTTAGGTAGGGTGCTGCTTTTTTTCAATTTTGCTTACTAATTCTCCTTGTGCAAGTGGTTGCCCTTCTAGTAGATATATGGCATTTATGTTGGACGGGTATTGATTTGTATGTTTTTGTTTTCGATCAAGTTGAATTCAGGTGATTCCCTAAAGTCTACCATTGACCCTTGTGAAATAATTACCACCCCTGGACATTGATATTATCAACTTGTTGCATGCAATGCATTAAAAACCAAGCCAATTATTCAACTGACTATTAGTCTAGTAATAGTTGAATTAGTAATATATATGTTTTGTTTAGTGAATCCGATACTTAACAGGTAAACAGTTTGTACCAAAACAAAAGGATCTGTTCCAGAGAAAAAAGCAGGTTAGCTCAATCAATTCGTCCAATTTGATTTTTTAACCAATGGTTATATGTAATTCATGTTGAAGTTGTTAGTTTTGGTCTTTTAAATAGGAGAATGTTTGAAAATCATTCTTTTCAATATACTTTTTTGTTGTAAATGATGATCCTGCGTTTAAACTTGTAATCTTATACAAATTATTTATAATTTCACTGTTATTTTTTTAAAATTGCTTAAATAATTATTAATTATAATTTTTTTATTTTTCACTTTTTTCTTACAAATTTTCACACGCTCTTTTTAAATTTATTTAAACATTTTCTTTTAACTTGTCAAAAATATTTTTTAGTTTATATAAAAAATGTGAGGATTCAATTTATATCATAAACTCTTCCATAATAATAATAATAATAATAATAATAATTTTTAATTAAATTACGTATTCAAACATAACTTAAATCAAACACTAACATAATCCACGATATTTACTCAACAATTGCTTCTAAAAAGTGGTATATGATATGCTGTTAGTGTAGATATAGAATGAATAGAAATGAAAAACAGTAGTTTTAAAATTGATCGACATTTTTAAACGAGCGTGGTTTACTACAACATTTTATTTTCCTTTTTTCTTAATGGAACAAGTAGTGTTAGCTCTGTGTAATTCAATCAGAACTCAGAAGCAATGCAATCCTAAGTCGAAGCATTTATGACGAGACCGAGTCGAAACCTAACGCATAACGACAAGTCACCGATGCTGACTCTAACTGGTCAACTCTAATGTTGAAGATTTGTTTGTGTGTTGTAGTTCCAAGCATTTATTCAATGGTAATAGTCTAATAAAGGACTTTTCTTTTTTATTGAGTAGTTTTTATTTTCTTAACATTTTATAAAAATAAATAAAGTAAAAACAAATATATTTAAAAATATAAATTTATCATTTTTATTTTATCTTTGACCAAAAATTCTCAGAGGAAAAATTGTGAGATTGATCAGTATGGGTAATGACATCAATAATTGATACAGAAACATAACCGAGCGTTGGTTTTTTGTTCCTAACTTTGTGGACAACACAGGCTATTTTGATGCAACATAAGATACGGTGATAATTTGAGCATTTGAATTTTGAACTATGTATGAATATTGATAATTTCATAACGAAAATGGCAACGCCCTTGAGACTTTTACAGAATAAATTTATTAATAATTCACCAGTCGAATGATGGAGAGTTTAAAAATATAAATAATTTATACAAATAATTAAGTTAGATAAAAAAAAACATATCAAGCATTTTAAAGAATGAAAAAATATTTTTTAATGTCTCTTTCTTTTTCCTGTAATCTATCTATGATATATACATTTGACTCGTGAAAGTATTTTATAAATCCAATTATGGCTAAACTGGTGATAATCAAATATGAATATATGTTTTAATTTATATAATATATTAAATAAAATTTAATATAATAAAAAATAAATTAAATTCATATTAATTAATTTTATTACATATTAATAATAATAATATATATTTACTATATAAATATATTTTGTATATTTTAAAAATTTTATTATATTAAGTTTACGTTTTAAAAATTCTGTTACTAACTGCTAAATTTGGGAACATGGCCTTAAAAATAATTGAAGCTTATCCTCAGTCCTATAAAACAACACTACTTTTTATCTAATCTCTTTCCTAAATAATAATTAAATATGTTTAATTTTTTTTAAAGATACAAGATATTAATTTTTTTTATTATCCATTAAATACAATTTCAGTCGTTACGAATGCACATACATTAAAAATTTGGAGAATATATTTTGTTACGGTTAATGATTATATTTGCATTAACTTATATGAGTCAAATGTTTAAGGTGATATTGTTAAGACTATAAAAAGTATTAAATGTATTTATTTGTTTATTTCATGTATTTTTACAATTTAAATGAGTATGTTTTTCTAATTTTTTTTATTTTTCTCTTTTTAAAAAGTAAATATTATTTCAAAATAAATGTTAATAATACATTATTTAAATATATTTTTACTGACTGAATTATTAATTTTTTTAAATTATGGGAGTCTTATTATTACTAATTTTATAAATTTCAACAAATTAAAAAGTGTTAAAAATAATTTATTATTAACAGTTCTTTAAGTTTAGAGATAAGAACACATTATATTTTTTATGACACATAAGTTTATCATTATTTAACATTTATTTATAATTACTTTGAAAAAAATAATTTTCTGTATTATCAATATAAAAATATTTATATTATTAACTAACTAAAATACACTTGAAATACAAAATTTAAATTAAATATTGTAAAAAATACTTGTTAGTACGAAAATTTATGGTCATCAGCACCGATACCGCAATTTAAGATTAAATAGTGTATTTCAATTAAAGTCTTAAAAAAGTCACTGATTGACAAAGTATTTGTTAGTTTTATTTTACAATTTGAAAAAATAATAAAAATATTATTAGATAGATGCAATATATTTCTATTAATTTAAGTTAAGATGAATTAATGATGTAATTGAATATTGATATTGATTTAAAATATGGAAGGGACCTGACGAGTGACGAGTGACGAGTGACGAGTTAACGCCGCTAGGTAATTTGGCTTCCAAAAAGGAAGGAGTGAGTGAAGGAACAGAAGCGCGTTAATAAATGAATTTGGGGAGTGGAGAGGAGAGCTTTCAAATTCAATTCAAATCAATTTCACAACTTGGTGCGTTCCGTAATCGCGTTGAGCTCATTCAAAGCATAACCTAAGTACTATAAATAGCCCTCTCCCATTCCACACTTTCTCCGCAACTAAACCAAAACACATCGTTTCAGCATATGTCTCAAAGGCCCACAGTTCCACACTCTTCTTCCATAGCCTGCGGCCTCCATTCGCATCTCCTGGTCTCCAGTGAGATGAACCCTAATTCCAATTGGTCCTTCTCTCTTCTTCCACATTAATTCAATCGCATTCTTTCTTTCGATTTAACCCCAACCTCAAACTAAACAACCAAAAAACACCATGGGACTCAAAGGTTTTGCCGAAGGAGGCATTGCTTCCATAATCGCAGGATGTTCCACTCACCCATTAGATCTCATCAAGGTTCGCATGCAGCTCCAGGGCGAAACCAACGCCCCCAAACCCAATCCGGTTCACACCCTCCGACCGGCTCTCGCTTTCCAAACCGGTTCATCCATCCACGTGGCAGCTCCTCCGCTTCCCCAACCTCGTGTTGGTCCCATTGCCGTTGGCGTGCGCCTCGTTCAACAAGAAGGCCTCGCCGCTCTCTTCTCCGGCGTCTCCGCCACCGTCCTCCGCCAGACGCTCTACTCCACCACCCGCATGGGACTCTACGACGTCCTAAAAAACAAGTGGACCGATCCCGTCGCCGGAACCATGCCGCTGAGTCGGAAAATCGAGGCTGGACTAATCGCCGGCGGCGTGGGCGCAGCCGTCGGAAATCCCGCCGACGTGGCCATGGTCCGAATGCAGGCCGACGGGAGGCTCCCGGCGGCGCAGCGGAGAAACTACAAATCCGTGGTGGACGCTATCACGAGAATGGCGAAGCAGGAGGGCGTGACTAGCCTGTGGCGAGGCTCATCGCTTACGGTGAACCGCGCGATGCTTGTGACGGCATCGCAGCTTGCGTCGTACGACCAGTTCAAGGAGATGATTCTGGAGAGGGGCGTGATGCGTGACGGCCTCGGAACTCACGTCACGGCTAGCTTCGCGGCAGGGTTTGTGGCGGCGGTGGCGTCCAACCCCGTGGACGTGATAAAGACGAGGGTGATGAACATGAAGGTGGAGCCTGGGGCGAAAGCGCCTTACGCCGGCGCGTTGGATTGCGCTATGAAGACGGTGCGTGCTGAGGGTCCCATGGCTCTTTACAAGGGCTTTGTGCCTACGATCTCGAGGCAGGGACCCTTCACTGTTGTGCTGTTTGTTACGCTTGAACAGGTTCGCAAGTTGCTCAAGGATTTCTGAACGAGGTAGATCGATGATGACGACGAAGATGTTTCTTTCGTTTTCAATAAGCTGTGTTATTGTTTGCTTTTATGTTTTGGCAAGTTATGGTAATTTTGTTATAACGTTACTTATCAATGTTAAATGAGAATTATTCAGAAGCAGCGTTTATTTTCTGAATTGAAATTTTTACACGGCAAGCCAGCATCAGCTTTTACGTTTACGCACTGAATGTGTGAAAATTCTGAGATCGTTTAGAAATCCACGATAGAAGTTAATAATTTTTTTACGTCTACGCAATTAATATACTAAATATTATGACACGAGTCTTGTCTTTACATGGTTATATTGACAGAGGAAAAATGGGTATTTGATTTGATCGGGGGCATAGTGAGTGTGAGATGGACAGAAAGAGACGATGAAACGTTACAGTCTGAGATGTATCGGTGACAATTACAACAGTGACGGCGCCACTATTTAGCAATTAGCGGAGTAATTTTTGTTCTCCAAATTTCCTCAATTCCAGGGGAGTGTAAGACGCGTAAAGCCGTAGAGTATTAAAAAAATATGCTTATTGGAGGGGATACTGTATATCTTCTCTATCTATATGATATTTACAATATCAGCGTGTGATCTAAGTACAGAGGAATAGGTATTATTCTTTCCTTTATTCTAACTTCTAAGTTCTAATGCCTTCCCTTCCCCCAATTTGAATGCTTCACCGACTGAAAGCCTCCATGTCCCTGCAACTTATTTTACAATAATCCAATCCAAGCTTAGCTGGAAACACCTTGAACCCAATATTCCAATAATGTACTTCTGCCATCAATAATTATCCTCGTATTTTTCAATCAAAAAAGTGATTATAATTCATTTTAACACATCTACTTTTAACGATTTAAAAATAAATTTAACACAAACGAGCCTTAATTACCTCCACTAAAACAAAATTACTAAGAATTTGTTCATTTTCTGTTTTTAAAAACAAAATTTTCTTTTTAAAAGTAAAATAAAATAAAATATATTTGTTAAATTTTAAAATTATTTTTCAAAAGTTAAAAAATCAAAACAGAAACAAACTTAACATATTTTATTTTTTAACTTAATCTTATTGTTGATAAAACTAATTTTTGGGTTAGATAATTTTTGTAATCTTTTATTGATTAAAATTGATTATAGATACTATATCCATAAAGTTTTAAAAAACGTGTATAATGCTTAAAACTGAAATCTTTCCTTTCCTCTAGAATGTCCTGTACCGAAATGAACTTCAGCTTGGGTACAATTTCTGCACCATAAAACGGACCAACAAAATAGGGTTGGATACGTGCAATCGGAAGGGGAACTTTTTGGGTACACATGCTTATGTTAGAGTTTTGCAGTAATAAAAACTAACAATTTATTGAAAATTTTAAAAATTTAATTTTATCATATATTTATCGCCTTTGTCACATATTAATGTGAAATAATAATTGTAATCTCAAAATATCATGACAAAACAAGTGGCTATTTAGAGTGAAGGAAGTTTCTCAGAGGTTACGTGAGAGATAAAAACTGCTGGCCATTTACTAATCACATTTATTTTCAACCCCGTGAAATTAACCAAAGTAGTAAGTAAACTACACAGGAGGTGGAATATCAAGTGGATTCCACGTTATAATAAATTTCGGATGGGAATTTTGCACCAGTGGTGCAACCTACTCTAAGTTAAAGACATTATAACGGAAAAAAAAGTTAAGAGCAATAATTGGGCACGAATCAACACTATAATTGGAGCTAGGACTGAAAACACTTCCAATTTGGCTGCTAGTTACATAAAAAGCCATAGAGTATACTTATAATCAACCAGAATATATTCACTCACATGGGACCATAAGTAATCTGGTCCCTTCAAGGTGCGTTATTGAATCTGGTTTACAGGCTAATAAAAATTCCACTCAACACAAAAGATTAGAAAGGGAGGGTATAGGCAGCAATTTACTCCACTTAGGTTACTCAAATAAAAATTGGTTCGGTGGTTCCAAAGTTACATTTGCTACGCATTTGGCACCGTGCAAAATTGTATGAGGACAAAGAACCAGCATACCCATAATCAATAATGGACCTATTATATAGCAGTTTGGTGCAACATCTCGTAGAAAAGATTACACAAGGTATTGTTATACCCACACGTTCCATTTTGTTTGACCTCTAAGCCTGTAGACTTACCCCCTTTATATTTTGGCTGTCACCAATATGGAGGCCTAAGTGTGATGTTCTCCTATGACATAGGCATAGTTCTCATCATTATTAGGAAGGCAAAAATTCGATATGTCAAGTCAGTTTCAATCTTTGTGTGCAACATATCCACAATCTTTTTTATTGAATTGGAAAGAGCTCCTAACTGCAATTTATTTTTACTATGTCTATAATTTTACATTCCACTGAAAGAAAAGATCATGAAAGGAATACAAAATACAAAACTGCATATCGTTTGAAAAATTCTGCACATATTTTAGGTGTCAGAGTGTCATTCAATGGACATAATAGCATCCGCATATTTGTCAAAAGTTTTAGGTTTTTTGGTCAACCAAAAGCTTTTGAAATTTCCTTTCCATACCTGTGGTGGGCTTTTTCAAAAACGTAAACACAGAAACTAATCAACCCATATCAAGTCAGGATGTTGCATAAAGTCCAATTTTCATTTGCCATACAAATTCCAACCAAACAGGATAAAATAGAAAACTTAAGAAATATAGGTAACTACCATACAGTTTTCAACAAATGCGAGTACTCTGGCCAGTGAGAAAAGTGATAGTTTCATATTCTTCAAGTGTACATGTCATTGATAAGTGGAACTGTTGATATTTCATTTATTTCCTTCAAGCTTTGCTAACGTATTTATGTTAATATGTCAGAGCAGCTTAAAATTGACATTTTGTAAGAATGGATGATATCAAGGTAGAATTCTGGGAAAGCATGAAGGAAAAAGTATTAGAAATTTGATTATCACTTACTAGCTTCCTAAGACCAACGGAGCTGAAACATTTGAGTCAATAAGGAAAAAATGTCTTCTAGAATAATTAGTATTTTCCCAATATTTAACCACTCTCAGCCAAAGAAGAGTCTATAGAAAAAAGCCAACATCAGGTTATATTCCACAGCCCAATAAAAAGAGAGATTGATCAATGTTTATGATTTGAAATAGGGGAAGCGAAACCTTCTCTAATATACACCATCGCAGCCAATCACAAAACTTATCTTGTATCCAAATGCTTTTTATATTGACCTAACTTTGGTTAAGATTGACCTAACGAGTCTATAACCCACCAAAAATGGCGGGTCGAGGTGAAAATTTTACACTCCTTAACTTGTTTAGCTTATTTTGTTTTAACTTGTCAAAATAATAGGAATCAACCAACCGATAGCATCCACTCTTGTTTTAACCTTAATTCAAGTGTGTCTGGAAATTAATTGTCTCGGATAGGATTTATTCGAAAGAATTGGTTCATTTCTACCAAGCAAACAGACAGTATTCTGTTTTCAACTATCTGCATAATTTTAAGTACGCATTAGAAGTCAGAACTTGATATGATAGATTGTGTAAAAGATCATATAACTTGATAGCAGGTGTCAATGCAGAAGTAAGTATTCCAACTGTGGTTTTATAAACATCCTTCGTGCCTGATGATGACGAGTCATGCAGGACTATACTCACTATAGTAATTTATAATTCTCAAAGAGTCAAAAGGGCAGAGGCCCAGAGCAAGTATCTGAACTTGATTCTCAATTTTTTCCAACACAAGCTTCAAGCCTAAGGTTCATCAATCATTTTCAATTAACAAATCTAAACTACTACTAGCATGCATGGATGAAAACTTGTCCACAAAACATATAAGACAATTTTAGTGGCAGAAGCTGTATTACATATGATTGAGCAAATATTTGTTATCTGTAATACCGCAAGGAGATCAATTTAGGAACAATACACATTATAACGATAGAAAATACAATTATTGGAACAACATGATACAAACACCTTAATCCTTGGATCAGTTGATGGAAAAAAGAAATTGTAGCCATCTTCAACATAAATAGTTCAGCTTTATCTCTGCAGCATATGACTACCTACCAAATAGTTTAAAAGAAAAATTACAACTATCGTTTAGATCTCTGGATAACAATAATTTTTTGTCCCAGCAAGACATTGGTGATTGTGGGTTTCTTCTATCAATTAATTTTGAATCCTGAAAACTGAAGTTGTTGTATTCTGATTCTAAGCCGAAAAGGTCGCATGATGCATTGCAAATAAGCTCATTTGCTTCTGCCAAATGCAATATCGTAAGGCTATGGGATCTTGCTCTGCAAATTGTCTAGAGATGCCGGAGCTAGACAAACAGTCTATTTAAAGACTGAACCAATGGTTGTGCGGAAAAACATTGTAAATTCACTTTTTGGTTATGGTTATGCTCTCATGGTGAAAACCTAGTACTCACATTATTAAAATTGGCCTACTACGTTTCTTCCTATTTATTACATTCATTGAGACTTTTGAACGTGATGCTAATAAGAATTTGACCGGTAAAAGGAGTTGCAACGAGGAGAAAGCTACAACTTGATTCTCATCAATCTTGGCCAACAAGGGCAGCATGCAGTTCTAGCACATTAGACCAGACTTACATATCATTTTAGTTTTCAATTGAGAAATCTAATTGAACATAAAATCAAATAGTATCTACACCAGAGATTAAAAAAGGATTAAAAAAGAAAAGGCAAGTTCCTGGTAATTGTGTTTCACTTTAGGAAACCATCCCCTTAATTTATTCTGGTTTTGTAAAAAAAGGCATCTTTCAGCCATTTTCCATTCCCGTTAAACTGTCAATTCTGTGTCCCACACGGAGGAAGCGTTTTCATTAGGGTGTCCCCTCTCCCACGGCCTTTCATCTTTTTCCATCCACATTAAGTATCCTATGTCCATATTCAGTTTTTAATTAGTTCTTCCTCTCAAGATCTAAATTGAACCTACTGTTCTTCCTCACAACAATGGTTCATTTTCAAGCGTTCCAGAACTCAATATCAGAACTCCTAATCCACCCACTGCTATGGAGACTCACGGGCTTTGTATCAAGCATAGTTGGGTTCAGCTGGTTTTCACTGAGCCCCTCCGTCCAAGACTTGTTCGGACACTGGACCTCGTTGAAGCTCTTTTTCTACAGCGCGTTAACCTCGCCTTTATACATGCATCTTAATGCTCTGCCTCTTCGTGAAAAGATTAAAGTGGGATTTGCGAGGAGTTTCTTGTTGAGAGCACAAATGGGTTTTCTTGTCTTAACGGTTACTTCTCTGTGGTGTTTTTTGGAAGATCGCAGTGAAGAAGGAAGGGGGAAAAGGGGGACGGCAAAATGATGAACCTGATTTCAAGTGAAGCATTTGCCATCGTGGCATCGAGCTTGGGTTCGAAGTTGTGGTCTTCAACTTCTTTGTCGGAAATTTTTTGGTGACAGTTATGAAGATGAGCTTAAAGTGAGTTCCACTTGCATTAGTGTTATGTTATTTCCGTTCCGTTTCAGATTTCACGAATGGGAAATAGTAGGGATAGAGAAGCCATACAGCATGCAGAGGAAGGGAATATAAGGTTATGGAAAATAATTTATAAGAATCATAAATTAATTTTTTAAAATCATTTGGAAGTTCTTTCAAGTGTATACCTTATACCCAATCATCATTCTCGGTGGGAAGTGTACAAGATTTCTCCCATGCTACTTGGTAATGAGATAGACATTATAAGTAATAAAAGTTATTGTAAAAAGGATAAAATTATGTTATTATTTGTTTTATTAATTAAGGAAATCAGGTGTTGAAAGTTATGATTTGTTTGTAATGAGGTGTAAGGGAGGAGAGCAGAGAAAGAGAATGTGGGGATACAAATTACTTTAAGCTATGAGTTTTTGCTTGCTTTTATATTTTGATAAATAACTTCTAAGTGATTTATGGTTGAAAAAACGGGTTGGATTTTTAGTATATGGAAAATGCTCCTTTGGCACTCTATTTTTTTAATGTATACTAGCCCACGCCCCACAGGTGGAGAAAGATTTTTTTTAAAAATGATGTGATGAATAATTTAATATTAAAAAAATCGCTATTAATAATATATTCTTGAACATACCCTTGTTAATAAAAATTTATTCAATATTAAATGTGTGTTTCGATTAGATTATTTCAGTTGATTATTTTTTTAAAAAATCTGTAAAAGATACTATTTAATCTTATTTAGTACTTTTAAAATATCAATTTATAATATTTTATTTTTTTATAAAGAGAAAAAATCATGATAATAAAATTAAAATATATAATAATTAAAAGCTGTCAATTTATTTTTTAGTTAATTTTTATTTTTATCCTTACTAATAGTTATTTTAAATATAAAATTAACTATCATATATAACTTCATATTCATTTTTTGTAATCTCATCTAAAAAAAATATTCTTTTATACACTCTAAAGACAATCAATTATTGAAAATCACTTTTCACGTCCGAACATAAAACAATTTTCTATATAGTCAATTATAAACTTTTTTTACACGCTAAGTGACATTTTTTCAACTATGATGTATAAACCCTCGGCACTATTACTAGCTCTTTATTAGTGTCACATCATACTGTCAATTGCATTTATCAATTTTTTTCTCTCCTTTATTCCTATATCTCTATGTGCATAGAAGTGTCTACCAAACAATTTCATTAGTGTTGCATCTACATCGGCAGGATAAGCAACTATATGATCACATCTAAGTGTGATCTCTGATAAATCTGAAACAGCAAATGCTTTCATGACTGGAAATTTATACAAAAACATGTATTTCAAAAAGCAAATTGTATTTACACTGAAATTACAGCTTAAACACAAACCAAATGGGAAGGACACAGATTTAAAAATAAAACACTATAGAATTATATTAAAAATTACATGAAATTATATTAATATTATTTTGGCATAAAAATCTTTCACTTTTAATTTATCATTATTAATTTACCGTTAACACACCAATCAACATTTGCTAAATGAGAGAAATGGGCAGGTATAATTGAGTGAAGAAATTTTAATAAGGCCTCGTGGTTGGGAAAGCCACTCGCGCACTTTCTTCTCGATTTGGTCAAAAAGTCGTCTTCTAGCTATTTTCCATCTCCACTTACAGTGTTAATCCAGTCCCACAAGGAACGTTTGAGTGAGGTTTTCACCCTTATTTTTTACTAGCCAGATTAAGGATCATAAATCAATCCATGTTCTTACAATTTCTTCGTTGGGTGTTTTTTGGTGACGGTTATGAAGATGAGCTTAAAGTTAGCTCCAGACATTCTTATGCTATTTGCTTGTCCGTTCCATTCTCCTTTACGTCGAAGAATCTTAACATTCTAAAAAATTTAAAAGTAAAAAAAACAAAAATAAAATGAAATTTGAGTAAAATTACTAAAAAGATTTCAATTTTTCTTAAAATAAAATATTTAAAATTCTTTTTAATTAACATAAAATTACTTTTTTATTATATATTAATTGTAATAAATTTAAAATATCCTTTCTACACACTACCTTATTAGAGTGCGTGAACATATTGCCACCCCCATCATGCAGACGATAAGAATACTGACTCCGTCGGCCAAGATACTAGCGCGGAAGAAATTGGTGCCTTCTATTCTTTATCTTTCAAAATACATTCTTAATTTCCAAGGAGCTAAACTCGTTTATCGAGTGTGCTTTTGAGGAAATGAAACGTGTCCTTCAAAAGAAAAACCGCAACGTGCAACAGAGCAAAACGAAAGGATAACTACACTGCTCTTACAGACAATTTGGGAGTGGCAATACCCTGAATAGGTGAAAGCTATGGCTGAATGGTGACTATATTTTACTTAACCAAACCTAATCATACAATGTACCTGCATGTCAAAGAAAGTGTCGGTATCAACATATTCCCTTAACTAAACAAATGGTAACTGTACATTCGTATTAAAGGGGCAGCACAAATATTTCATCCGAACAACTAATTATCTTCTGAACCAAAAACTTGTTGCTTGAGCTCCTCTACTTTAATAGCCAGCTCTTCCCTATTTTTCTGCAAGGTCAACAATCCAATTAATCTGGGTAACCAAGATGCACACATCAGCCAAAATAACTCAAAAGTTGGCAAATACCTTGAAAAGCAGGTAACGGGAACTGAACCATAATGTATATGCAAGCCCTACGACTTCCAACAACTTGGGAAACTGTGCCAGAATAATGAGCCAAAAATTATCAGCATTAAGATAGCTTAGCTTTTGGTTTGACATTATTTAGACAATAGATGATTGATACACACCAATGGGATAGAATCAATTGCACCAATAACGGCTGATGTTAACCATAGAGCCACTAAGACACCACCGCCATACAAGACAATAGAACCAGTGTCAACTGTATCAAACTATAACAGGCATAAAAGAGGACAAGTTAGAGGGGAAAAGAAAACACCAACAAAACCATGTCATTTAAATTCTTAATAGTACATCTGTAATGCAATGCAAAAACACACAGGCAACAAAAATTACAGTAAATCTTCTTTACAGTGTTACGTAGATAAAAGCAAGCAGTCAGTTTCACAAGCACCAGCCTATAATAATGATGCAACACAAAATCAGGAAGAAACAATTTTATGATGTTGCATCATTGATTTAAAACACAACATCCTATCAACTAAGGGAAGAAAATGAAAACACCCCACACTTCGATGGTCCATTCAGAAAAACAATTTTTACAATGCCTTTGAAGCAGTGAGTTTAACAAGTAACAATACATTAAAACATGAAAATAATAACAGAACAATTATAGATAAAGATAAATTAAAAGGAATCTTGGAAATAAGGAAGGGTGGGGGGGGGGGGGGGGGCACAGCAGCTAACTAGAAAATCGTATGCCAGTTTAGCATATACTTAATTTAACCAAAACAATGAAGAGGGGGAAAACAGAGAAAGTGTGTTTTGGCAAGACTTAGCAAAACACATTACCTAGAAATTTGTCACAAAGCAAGAAAACACGGATGAATCATAACACTCGAGAACCAAGGCAGCCGTGCCAAGGCAACAGGAGGTAAACAGTGTACATACAATGCGCGTGAAGGACAAAGCAAGATTTCAATACATACCCTAACTAGAAGGTAAAGACGTTAATTGAATCATGGACATTTTAGAAGTCAGATTTGATTGCAATGGTAATAAGTAACCTCAGTGGCTAGTGTTCACTACTAAAAAAGGCACCTTAACATGGAAAACTATTGGATACATGAAGCAACAGTAGAAGGCTTAGTCAAACTTAAAGGGATTTTAAAACATTAAAACCAGCTGGCCGAGTCAGTGATGGCTTAAAAAATAACAGATATGACAAGAGCTCAGGAAGGAGCTTTTTTTGTACAAGGTTCGTGTAAAATTCCAATAAGCCAAAACCATAATTTCATAAAGCATACGACAAGAAAAAGAAACCAAAAAGAAAATTGAAACCATGTATAGAGTTGCTCAGGTAACCGCTCAGGTTCGACATGACTGCCGAAGATATCATCAAGCATTCTATAAATGCCATCAATAAACTGTAGTCTCATCACAGCAACTCAACATTTGAGACACAAACCAATCAAAATCAGTGAAAAACAAAAACATGTGCCCTGAACCACCAAACTCATAGTCAATACTCAAGCGTGTATAAACAGTACAAAGACTATGAAAGCTTAACAAGCAAAGTGATTAAAGCTATCCTTACATTGAGCTTATCAAGCAAGTCCAACGACAAGCCCTGTCCATCATCAGGTAACTCTCCCTTTGTGTCTTCATTTTCATTGAACTCGTTCTTATCAACGGCTTTATCATCCTCAAGGGTTATCACACCCTCACGTTTCTCATCGAAAGCTTGACTTGCTCCACCAGATCTATCTTCAGAAGTTGTCGCCTTTGGCAACCGATTTCGAAAACAAATTGATCCTGGCATGAAATAAAACCAAAAAAATAAATTAAAAAAAACAGGGACTTTACTCTTTCACAACCACCCCAATTGTTCCAAAAGCCTGCTATTCCACACAACAGCCATTAAAAAAGAGGAAAAAACATAGAATTAGAAAAATGGAAGTGGGCAAAACCTCGAACGTTTGGAGCTACCCACGTAGACAACAATTTAAGCAATATTAAGAAGGAAAACGATTAAAAGATGATGGAAAAGAGGGAATCGTAGGTTTTGTTAGGGTTGAACATGAAATAAATAGGATAAGAGAACGTACGAGAAAAGAATATGGCGATGGGGGAGAGAGGGGTTTGTCTGTGAGGAAGGGAGGGTTTAGGAAGCTTCGAGAGAGTGAGAGGCTGAACTGTACAAAGCCCCATTGTGACTGTGGTTTCCAGAGTGAGATGAGATTTGTGTTATTCAAAGCCCTTTTTATATACAACGTGGCTTCTAGGGTTTCCATGCTTTTTTCTCTCTTTTCCCAGTTTCTCTGTTTTATTTTACTAGTTTCTTTACTATCATTTTCCATATAAAATAATATTAATTACTTTTTCTTTCAATAAAATTATATTTCTCTGTATTTTTATATTATTTTTTAGATTTTTTTCATCTTTCTTAATATTTGTGCTCGCTAATGTAACATACCTAAATAACTAATTTAGATCGCAGGGATTATTGCAAAAGTAAAAAAAAAAAAAAAGGTCCTTTGCGATTGTGAGTGACAATACAAATGCTTGTGTAGCAAATTAGGGTTTTTGCAGCCGCTACATTCTTTCTCAATATGAGACGTTTTTACTCTGAGGCTTTGAGAAATTTTAACCTCTTATTCAGTCTGAAATTTTTGGAACATTTATTTTCAGAAATTGATTTAATTTACGAATAAAATTCTCTGATTGAATTTTTTAAAAACATGAGTTTATTTTATTTGAATTGCTTCCGATCTTAGTTATTTCTATTAAGAAATGTATTTCAATTGAATGGATTTTATTTTAGTTTTAATTGTTAGAATGATAAGCTTTATTCTTATTAATTTAAATTTAATTGAATACATTTACACTGTTATTTAATTATAACTTGTAATGTTAGTGAAAGTGTTAATTTTTGTAATAATTAATATAAAATTTTTATTTATATATGCAGTATATTTTAATTGATTGGTAGTATAAATATTTTTATATGTAACAATTTTTGTGTTAATAACGAAAATGTGATACGGTTACCATTCTTATATATCCGCGAATTTGGAAGGTTACAATAACAGAACTAGAAGTCTAATACCAAGGAAAAGCCCATTGTCGAGACCCGCATGTATAGTTTCGGACGGAAGGCCTGGGTAATGGGGGATTATTTGAAAAGCTTCTTTTAGGCCCAATTCAATCCCTTTGTATGGAACTGAGGTCGAATTTTAAGACAAGAAAGTTAATTAAATTTTGAATAATATATCAAAACTAATCTTTAATTTACTAAATATAAGTTTTTAAAATTTTTATTGTTATAATTTTGGAATTAAATTATTGCCATTTTTTAACTTTACCCTCTGGTTGGTTCTATGGAAGAAAACATATAAAGCAACAAAAAGTTTTTTTTTTTTTCAAAATCAGAAATTACGAGTTGTTCTTAAGTGCAAATGGTTTAAGATTAATTTTGTTCGCAGCTCATGACAATCGCTAACTTTACACATGTGAATGCAGTAAATTTGTGTCAGTCCTTCATATTAAAAATGGTGAAATTTAAATTGGAAGAAAAATAAGAAGAAAAAAAGTATGAATTATCTCTAAAAAAAATTTCTCTTCAATCAAATAAAAAATTTGTTAGCCGTGTTTTATTTTTTCTTATCCAATTTAAAAAATCAAAATATAATTTTTATAATTTCAAAAATCACGTTAACTAGGCATAGATTTAGAGACTAACTTAATAGTGTTACTCATGAAATTCCTGGAATCCCTGGCTTCTTTGTTAGATCAGAGCTATTCCACCTGAGGTCAAAACACTGAAGATATATAGGCTCTTTGTGTTTTCAATATATTTTTTTTCTCAACAGGTCTGTTAGAGTTTAGTACTTTCATGGTTGAGGGGAAACTCGGTTTCTGGACCAGAGAGAGAGGTTGATGTTCTCTGTGACCAAAATTGAATTCTAAGAAGCCCAAGACCGCAGAGGCTATACTCACTTTTGTGCTTCAGTGTTGTGTTTGGAGTTGCATGTTTTTCTTATGGAAATAGGCCCACTCAATCCATATAAATGCTTAAGCATAACTGGAGTGAATATGGTACATATTTCAAGCTTAGACATGTGCATCCTTGTAATTCACGTTCATCCTCATTTTCTTTGGGTACCGTATATAAAATGTGGAATAAAAAAAAAAGAATTTAGACTTGAACAATATAAATAATTCACGTTCATCCTCATTGCCTTCACTGATTTAATGTGTGATTCAATGTTAAAAACATTAATTGTTAACGTACCATAACTTTCTAAAATTTTCACAAAACTGAAAACGTAAAATCTACTAATTCAGAGGAATTAACAAACACTAAACATTAGTTTTTGTGTGATAAAACTCGCAATTTGCATGACATTTGGCAGATCGTGGGCTCAAAGACCCTATTTTCTTTCCCTTACAAGGGAGGTACATGGGCTGCTCTGGCATTCTTGTTAAATACTAATCCATGCTTGAATGCCTTGGCTATGGCCACAAGTGCTTTTAATTGGTTTTGAACCTTTAAATTTAAACTGCATGTAAAATCCACCCACATAAACTTGAGTTTCGCAACTGAGCACACATGGTAGGTATTGTCGAATGATCTTTGATCACCTCATTTCAGACTTGAAGCACGCATTTAAAAAATGTTATTTCTATTCTCCAATAATGTGTCCTAGCAATAGGTCAATAATGGCTCGGTCATGGACATGGTCAATTGTTTTCAATTCCCGCGTCTTCCCCTCTCCTTTGTCCTTACAAGTTACCACTAACTGTAGAACTTTGTTTCCTGTTGGTGGGACACTTGTAGGATCGCCAACACCAAGGCAGAAACCTCATCATTTTCACTAAGAACTCTAGGCTACTCATATTTCAAGAAGGGTACTAAATCCCACATGAATCATTGATGTAATGTTGGCAAAGCTTCTTTTATTCAAACCAATCAGGCCCTTAGAGCGGGAAGTTCCAACACATCTCTTAATCAAAGCTCAATTGTCAAGTAGGTGTATGTGTGTGGTCTCTGAAAACCAAACTCACGATCAATCACTGATGTTACATGGTGAAAAAGTTTGCCCTCATTCAAGGACAATGACTCATCATTATTTCCCTTGAAAGTAATCATGCTTTGAGTCTTTGACCGTGGATTTCAGGTCACTTAAGGCCATTTAGAAGGGAAGGGGAATCTTAACACAAGAAAGTAACGTGGCAACAAATTTGATGTTTTGACAGACAAATAACTCAAGTTCTCACAAGACCATCTAATAGAAACCCTCTTTTTACTTAGCGTTTAGATAACTTTAACATATACACAGGTGGATGATAGGAAATTCTTAGCCTTATATAATAAAGCCTATGGTTGGTTAATTAAAATTCACATCTTCGGTCTATTATGTGGAAGATTTTATCCTTTTACCTCGGTTGGGTAGCCAAATTACGAAACTTTTTTTAATGTAAGATTCTAAATGGTAGTATATGATATATTGAGTTATTTTAATTCCCAAGTGGCAAGGCACAAGGGCAACACATGAGGCAGGATTCACCTGCAAATACACAGAGATTCGGTTTATTTATTCAAAATAAATGTGGTTGTGGAATTGGTATGGCTTATGTTCTGTCGACTTTCAGTTGCAGGGCTTTAATATGTGCGTGATTAGAGAAGGAAGTACTCTCTAGAGAATGGATTTAATAGACAAAGCATATTATTAATACTAAAAAGAATTGAAGACTAGTTCTGGACCACCATGCTTATGCCACACAAACCCAAATATATGTAATAACATGGGGGTGAGCATGCATAGATCTCTAACAACCATAAAGGACTGCCATTAAAATTGATAATACACGTGATTTGGTATGCGTTATAAAGTGTCCGATATATGGCCATATGGGGAATTTTTGGGAGATAACCCCATAGAAGTGGTGGATGGAAAGGTAGAGTATCTTAGGAGAGAGAGGGCAAAAGAGGAGAGCATCTCTAGGAGAAGAAAAAGGGTTAGGAATTTGTGTTGCTAAAGTTTGAAAAAGAAAGAGCATGCATATTTTAGATTTCCATTTGAAAGTAACCTTCCTGAAAGGGAGATTCAATTAATGTAGTAAGAATCAGTTTCTTGGTATCAATCGTTAATTGCCATAATTTTGGGTTCATTTTATTAAAATTCCTTCCAATCACTGTGCCATTTGACCAAGAAGGTGTTGGAACAAAACCCCGATTATTTGAGCTCTGTTATTTATTTATTTTTCAGATATTTCAATTTTGTTTTATATTTTTGCCAAACGATCAATATTCCTTATTAATCTTTACAATTGAACTTAGGATTATCATCCATTGTTGTCTTTTTTCAGTGACCACGCTAATGTTTCATAGCGGGTGACATTTGCAAATTACATATCTCGTGGGGGCATTGTGGTTTGGTGAAAGGTACACTTCGTCATGGAACAACTGGCATACACTATTAATATATTTTAATTAAATCTTATAATTATTTTTAATTGTATTTTTTATTCAATTTTATTTTTATTTAAAAAATTAAATTATTAACTATAAATCAAACGAATATTCGCTTAATTCGTATTTTAAAACAGAAAAAGGGAGCAGAGTAAGTTGATCATTGGGTTAAACATTTAAAAGATAATAATAATTCAAAAGAAAATATATTTTGTATATTTAATTATATTTTAGTTTAAGGTGCACTTTTATTTTTGAAGTATGAAATGGGCAGCCTTATTGGGAACTAAGGAATGTAAGCAACGGATTTCTCACACTCTCTTTTTAATATTTTTTTTTATTAATTAAAAATTATTAAAAATTACAAAAATATAAAAAATAAACATTAATTTAAAAAAAAATCATATATTTTTAATAAATTTTAACTAATAATAAAAAATATACTAAAGGAAAAATATTTTATAATATATTACTAGCATTTTTCTTTTAAATGTTGGCTACCCGAATTTTGGTCAACACTAGACAGTACTTCAATTATAAATTCACAATCTTAAATAAGCCTCTTGTTTGGGATAGCGAAATGTTATAATTAAAAAAGTGAATATTCAAAATTTTCTTTTCGTATACCTTTTAAAAATTCAAATACAAATTAAATTAACGTGCATTGAGAGGTTAAACTCCAATAAATTATATATGCATTTAAAGTTTGTTTAAGTTTTTTTATAAAGTCATTATAATTGTTTTTAAAAAGTTGCT